GTTTTTCATACAAGCTCATGACATGGTGGACAAATTGATATTGTTCACAAGTCTGGATCATTCCTCCCCTGAAAAGGAAAGCAGAAAAAAAGGGAAGGGAAACAGTCCTTGTATTACAGTAAACAGTGTAGTTAATGGTGAATGGCACAGCTAAAATGAAATGGCCTTATGCTCCAAGAGCCTATTCCAAAGCCCACTGACTTAAGTCAATGGAAAAGCTGCCACTGACTGTGCTGGGTTTGGATCTGGCCCCAAATGCCTCTGCTAACCAGGAAATGAGAGGTATTCAGAACAGAACTAAGTTTTACCTTTGCTTTTCTCTCAGTGAGGCCCTAATTCATTGACAATATCATCATTTATTATGTGTTACAGAAGTCATGCTAGGCACTGTATAAATACATAGACAGACAGTCCCTGCCCCAAAGAGCTTGCAGTCTAAATAGACAAGACAGACACGAGGGGAAACAAGTTAAGGGACTTGTCCAATGTCACCCAGCAGGTCAGTGGCAGAGCTGGGAATAGAAGCCAGGTCTCCTAAATCCCAAACCAGTGCCCTATCAACTGGGCCTCACTGTCTCCCATGCAGTAAATGAGATTCCCCCCCCCCCCCCCCCCCTCTGTCATAGGATGATGCATTCTGGAATACTTCCAGTGAACCAGGAAGTGCCGGTAGGATTTCAGACTAGGCAAAGACATTTCAACAGAGAATAGCTCATATTCTGAGCTGACTGCCACCCACATCCTGATTAGTAAGGACTTTCAACATAGAAATCTGGGCTTCACTCAGCTTTCAGTCTAACTTTGCTGTTCTGCTTCAAAAGGTGAACTGAAAACCTGAAATGAAAACTGAGTTCACCTGAACCCATAATATAACTAGGCAAGAAGAGAAATGTGATTTGCTGTTCCATGCATCATGTAGTAAGTAATCATTATTTTAGCTAGTAGCATGGTGGAAGGAGCATGGTAACTGCTTATTTGGCACATTCCTTCAGCAATGGGTTCCCTAGGAGGTTAGTGAAAGCTGCTCCTTTTTGACCTAAAGGAGAGCAGATGGTGTTCCCATCAAGTTGCCCATGTGACACAAAAGGTCTCACTAGCACCGGGAGGTAAATGTATCTGCTTCAACTTCAGCAAACCTGGCCCAATGTTTTAAAAATACACCCATTGTAATCATAGGGCCAGGTTGTACGTAAGTGGCCTCCTCCCTTACCTCCCTGCGTAGTGGCTGGGCCCAATCCCAGTTCCTCTGCTCAAGCAGCTCAAGGAGTGCAATCACTGCATGAGGCAGATGCTCCAAAGTTGGCAGGAAAATGGTGGTGTCATGTGTCCCTCCACAACCCCTGCACCAGCCGGCAGGGGTGGGGAGAACACGCTGCACCCCTTCAAAGAAACCCCATAGCCAGCTGAGCTGAGCATACCTATTTGTCAATCTGCTCTATTTAGAACAGCATCTTTGTTCATCTGTTTCAGAGTGTTTCTGTGCACCGCATTTCTGCTGCACACAGCACTGAAAATGCATCTCCATCAGGCTGTGACACACAAGGAATGTTAGTCATATCCGGTGATTACTCCCCATGCAATTCCATTAACAGCTAGGTTGGACCCTGACGTTGTGGCAACAGAAGCAGTGGGGTGGCCATCTAGTTTCAGGCCACAGGAAATGATTTTCCTTTTATCTCATTCTCTGCTATGCTGCTGCTTCCTCCCTCCTCCCCCCTCTCCCTCCCCACACATCATGAGTTCACTGTCCAAGCTTTGGCAAAGACTTGAGAATCTACATTTTCACCCTTCTTTGCCACAGAGACCTTTCAAATACAAGTTTTTTCACTGACAGAAGGTACCCAACATCCCTGAACACTGGCTGAAGGGATGCAGGAAGCATCGCTCAGCCTTTTCTTTGCCACATCGACTATTCTTAGGACCAAATGCTGGACTCCTGTACAAAGTCCAATACACAGGCCCTGTGCAAGGGACCTAGGGAGAAGGAATCTTTGTCTCGCTAACCTGACAGCAAGCTTAAAAACACCCCACTGGCTTTAAGAGGAACTACTGCTGTCAGGGCTGGCTCTAACTTTTCTGCTGCCCCAAGCAAAAAAAAAAAAAAAAAAACCCACCCCGCCCCCCCAGCGAACCAAAAACAAGCCCCCCCGAGCGCCGCCCCGCCAAACCAAAAATAAAAACAACCCCCCCCGAGCGCCGCCCTGCTGAACCAAAAACAAACAAACAAAAAAAGCCCCAAGCGCCGCCCCGCCACCCCAAGATTGGCTGCCCCTTACAAGGTGCCGCCCCAAGCACGTGTTTGGTCATCTGGTGCCTGGAGCCGGCCCTGACTGCTGTGTAGTCACAGATCCACGGATGACATTACCCCAAAGTATTTGTTCTTCCATGGAGCAGTGCTAAGCAGTAGCACACTGAGGTGTATATCGCCCCTACCCACCAGGGGTTCTATGCAGTCTCTCTCCAGACAAACAACCAGTGTAGTGAAACGCCATCTAGGGCCTTCTGCAGCTATTGTGGCAAAAGGATTTCTCCCTAAATGTCAAAAGAGAGCACTTCTTTTGCAGATAGCAAAGGTCAAAAGTTCAGGAGGATGGCAACTGCACTACTCTTTTATCACATTTACCTTATAATGCCAGACTCCAGAATGGATCTGAGGCCTGGTCTACACTGGGGGGGGGTGGGGGTCGATCTAAGATACACAACTTCAGCTATGAGAATAGTGTAGCTGAAGTCGACGTATCTTAGATCGACTTAGAATCACTTACTTCGCGTCCTCGCAGCACGGGATTGACGGCCGCTGCTCCCCCGTCGACTCCGCTTCCGCCTCTTGCCATGGTGGAGTTCCAGAGTCAACGGCAGAGCGATCGGGGATCGATTTATCGTGTCTAAATCCATCCCCGATAGTTCGATCACTACCCGCCGATCCGGCGGGTAGTGTAGACGTACCCTGAGAAAGGTTTCCCCTTCTGGGTGCTGGTGTCTGTTATTTTATGTTAGTAAAATTAGCTTCCCCAAACCAGATATTGGACATTGGATATAGCACGGACTATCTGAAGATGTTCCCTACTGTTCACAAGCAAGAGGCGGATTCTTAGTGCCAACGCTCATCATAGCGCTACTGCTCTGCAGGTCTTGTAGTGTTTTCCTACTTTCATCCCTTGCTCAAAATGTTCATTCCAACCTCTCATCCCCCAACACCCCCATGTCCCTGGAGGCTCTTCCACCCCTGCTCAACCTGTTTTCTCTGCCTACTAACCTTGTACAATGGTGATTGGTCAAAGAAGTCACTATCTGCTATGCTCCTTTGCAATGGCTGCCTCCTTACATGTGCTGCTCCTGGGGCCACAATGAGACATGGGGCTAGGGGAGTGGTAGTGGCAGCAGACAGACACATGGATAGATGGTTTCAAAGGGGTTGCTAGCCCCTTTCCCCATTCCCTGGAAGCAGCAGGACCTTGCTCATGTGATTCATAACGCTGTTCCCTATCTCATCCCACTAATGACCATAAGGGACAGAGGAGAGGCAGACCTCACAGCCTGATTTTTCCTAATGTATCAGGGGCTCCTGCAGGGCCCCTGAACTTGTTCCCCCTCTGATGAAGCAGTAGGTATTAGGCCCTGTTGTGCCCTCCTCTCCTTCTGAACTCCCATCCCCGCAGGCTAGTATTAAAAAATGAACCTCTTCTAGCAAGCACATTGTTTTCCTGGACACCCTTCGCTCTCATTTCTGTGGCTATCTGGCTGTGAAATGCATCCCCATATTACTCTCAGACAGAAGTCAGTAGAGGGCATTTCAGATCCAGCGACTCTCTCTGTGCTAGGACAAACCAATACTCTATTCAATGTTTTCTTTTTTCTTTTGTGAACGTTCATTGTCTGGGTTGACCTTCATTGAAGCAGCCAAACCACCAGCACCACTGCAGGTCTCTGCCTATCAAGACCACAGCAGGGTGAAAAGCATTTCATTTTCTGCCTCCCACTGAGCAGAACTACTCATCTGAAATAAGGTTCAGTGTGGGGTTGTGTTTTTCATTCATTTTTTTAAAAACGTTGGTATATTTTTCATGACATTTCTTCCCCTCACTCCATTTATTATTATCGTTAGAGAGAGCATGGAGACACGTTTTGACAGAACTTCAAATCAACGGGAGAAGAAAAATAATCTCTCTGGTGCAAAACTCAAGTCCGTCCACTTTGTAGTCAAAATCAAATGCAGCTGGCATGATGAGAAACCCTTATATAGAAACCTTTTGATTGTGGAGAGCTTTGCATCTCCTTTTGCATGTCTGCAAACATCTCTTGCCTGTGCGTAAAGCAACATCCTCCAGCCTACACTATTGGCAGCTTCCATACTGCAGTGCTCTTCCACTGAGGCTTGCAATTCCAGCTAGACTACGTTCATTTTCTTCATCATTTGTGTTCCATCCTCACAGCTGTGTGCCTGTCTGTGATTCTGAGAGCAATGGGCCTCTCAGCCTTATTCTTTTAGCTATAACTGTGGGCCAGATCCTCAGTCAGTGTAAATGAGCAGTAGTTCCATTAAAATAAATCAGCTGTAACTCCATTAAAATCAAGGCCGCTATTCCAGCTGAAGATCTGGCCTCACTGTGACTTGTTGGGGTTGTCATCTGCTGCTGGGATTTGAGAATTTTGGTAACACAGGCTAATTCCATAGCACAGATGAGAGGTGCTATTTAAAATTCTCAATAGTATCAAAGGCCCAAATTCTTCAAAGGTGTTTAGGCATCTAATTCCCATTGATTTCACTGGGAATTAGGCGCCTAAATACCTTTGAGATCTAGGCCCAAGTGACTTAGAAGCCTAAGTTGCACTAAAAGTCAATTGGACTTGATTCATAGCCACTACTTAGGCTCAGGTACTTTTGAAAATTTTACCCACTAACCTGAGGTTTGTCTTTTTTTCCTCATGTTTCTTTCCCCCCTCAGACATGTGGAAATATTTTTTTATTATTATTTTTGAAAGGAAGAAGATTCTCTTACCTGTCTAGCCGTAACTGGCAGGTTGTTCTCAGTATGTCAGTTATCCCCTCGTACTTCAACTGTTTACAACAAATGCTGGTGGCAATAAAGCAGCCAGTCCTCCCAATCCCTGCACTGGGGAGGACAAAGGGGGGGGAGGGTGTAGGCAAATAACCCAGAAAGAAAAATGTTAAAATTTCATTTATAATGTACAGGGGCTGCTGTCAAATGTGTGAAATAAACAGAATCCCCCATCATTCCTGGGGCGTGTGTATGGAAAAGTCATTACTAATCACTAATAAAAGACATTAGCTTCACTGGGACTTAAGTAATAATAATAGCAGCTCTTATGCAGCACTTTCCAGCAGTAGATGTCAAAGTATTTTACAAAGGAGGTCAGTATCATTATCCCCCTTTTAAAAATGGGGAAACTGAGTTACAGAGAGGGGACATGACTTGCCCAAGGTCACCCAGCAGGCCAAAGCTGGGACAAGAACCCAGGTCTCCAAAGTCACAGTTCAGGGCTTTAGCCAGTTGGCCCAGCTACCTTTCCATGGTAGCACAGGGAAGCTTTGCATGGCTCTAGTTAGCTTCAATGGTGTACTGTACAAGATAGGCCTAAATTCATCCACCATCACTGTAGCCTCTAAGCACTAAGGTGGTGTCTGTTGAAATCTCATGGATGGTAGTTTCACTCCCTTGACATGTTTCAAAGTATTAGATGTTGCTAATATTTCATGATTATGAAAAAAAATAACAGGTACTCTCCCCAAAAGGCTGTATTCAGCAGCAAAGGAATTTCAGTGATGCACATTATAAAGAAAAAGAGATATGACCTCATGTTGGTGCATCATACTACAAAACAGGGGATCAGAGTCTGAATCCCAAGCACGGTCCTTCATTTTGCACACGGGAGGATGGAAGGACAAGAATGCTTGAGGTATATGCCAGTGGTTGATCCACTGCTCAGTTTGGTTGGGAAGCAGCGCATCTGATTGCGGCTGGGAGTGATGCCACTGCGGCAGGGGTCTGATGTAAAATGGGATGCAGGGCCTCAGTGAAACAGGGATTGAAAGACACCTGCCATAACTCTGAACCTCGCCCTTTCCCTCACCAGCTAGGAGCTGGTTGGTTCACTGTTGATGGGGCAAGCCAAGTACAGAAACTTGGTGTCAACTGAGAATGTTTCATGGTGGAACAGGGATGGCCTCTGTGTACAAAAGAGATTAGAAAATAAAGTGGGAGTAGGTACTTCGCCCCCTCCCCCCTGAGAAGCAATGTGTGGAGTGGACAGTCAGACACAGCAAACCATGTTGTAACCATGAGCATATTTTTTCAAGAGAACCTAGCCCTGCAAGTGGGGGGGACGGGGGGGACAACTCCAGAGCCCGGACTCCAGCCTGAGCCCTAACGTCTACACAGCAATTTATAGCCCCACAGCCTGAGCCCTGTGAGCCCGAGTCGGCTGACACAGGCCAGCCATGGGTGTTTTATTGCAGTGTAGACATACCCTAAATAACAGAGACACCAAAAAAAACAGTTACCTTTTCCATAACTGGTGTTCTTCGAGATGTGTTGCTCATGTCTATTCCACAATAGGTGTGCGCGCTTGCCACATGCACCAGTGCCGGAAGTTTTCCCCCTAGCATTACCCATAGCGGGGAGCGCTCCTGCAACCCCTGGAGTGGCGCCTGCCTGGCGTGGTATAAGGGGAGCTGCGCGCTCCCCGCACCCTCAGTTCCTTCTTGCCAGACAACTCCGGCAGAGGGGAATGAGGGTGGGATGTGGAATAGACATGAGCAACACATCTCAAAGAACACCAGTTACAGAAAAGGTAACTGTTTTTTCTTCTTCGAGTGATTGCTCATGTGTATTCCACAATAGGTGATTCCAACCTATATCTGTTGGAGGTCTTCATAAGTTCCCAGGACGGAGGACAGCCCTGCCGAACCCGGCGTCATCCCTGGTTTGGGAGACGATCGCATAGTGCGAGGTGAACGTGTGAACCGACGACCATGTGGTGGCCCTACAAATGTCCTGGATGGGGACGTGGGCCACGAAGGCAGCCGACGAGGCCTGTGCCAGGGTCGAGTGTGCCCTCACAATGGGCAACGGGGGGATACCCACCAGCTCATAACATGAACGGACGTACGAAGTGATCCAACTGGAATGCCGCCGAGTGGATATCGGCTGGTCCCTAGCGCGCTCAGCCGAGGCGACAAACAGTTGTGAGGACTTTCTGAACGGCTTAGTCCGCTCGAGGTAGAAAGCCAGAGCCTGCCAGACGTTGAACGTGTGGAGGCGGCATTCCTCACTGGATGCGTGAGGCTTGGCGTAGAGGACCGCTAGAAAAATGTCCTGTCCCATGTGCTAGGCGGAGACCACCTTCGGGAGGAACGCGGAGTGTGGGCGGAACTGAACCTTGACTACCTTGCCCTCCAGATGCAAGCGGAAGGCCATACACGCCAGCCACACTGCTCTGAGCTCTTTGACTTTTATGTGTAGGGTCAGATCCTGAGCCGACCACAGGCCTTGGGTCTGAAAGCTCCCCACATGGGCCCCCCAACCCAGGTCTGATGCATCGGACACCAGCTCCAGCGACGAGGCCATGTCCCTGAACGGGACCCCTTGGAGCATGTTGTTCGGGGTGGACCACCATTGCATGGAGGTAATCACAGCTTCCGGCACGATGAGGACCTTGTCCATCCTGTCCGTGGCCTGGGAGAAATTCGAGGCCAACCAGAGCTGGAGGGGCCTCATCCTGAGTCTGGCGTGATGGACCACGTATGTGCACGCCGACATATGACCCAAGAGCTGCCAGCAAACCCTGGCTGTTGTTACCGGGAACCTTGTGACCAAGTCGATGAGACCTTTCAGGGTCTCGAACCTGTCTGGCAGGAGGGAGGCCCTGGCCGACATTGCATCTAGGAGCACCCCGATAAATGCTATGTGTTGGACCGGGACTAACGTGGACTTGGTGTTGTTTACCAGTAGGCCCTACGTGGTGCACATGGACAGGAGGAGCGCCACGTGATCCCTCACCTGCGACCGGGATTTGCCCTTCACAAGCCAATCGTCCAGTTAGGGAAATATCTGTACCCCCCACCGTCTGAGGTAGGCCGCTACCACTAACATGCATTTTGTAAACACTCTGGGGAGAGTGGACTGCTCAAACGGTAGGACCGTAAATTGGTAATGATTTTGTCCCACCACAAAACGGAGGACGCACCTGTGCCCCTTGAATATGTGGATGTGGAAGTACATGTCCTGTAGATCGAGGGCAGCGTACTAGCGGGATCCAGAGAGGGAATGATGGAGGCCAGGGAGACCATGTGTAACTTGAGCTTCACCATGTGCTGGTTCAGACCCTGTAGGTCCAGTATGGGCCTGAGACCCCCTTTGGCCTTCGGGATAAGGAAATAACAGGAGTAGTACCCCTTGCCCAAGAACTCCTCGGGCACCGCCTCTATCGCTCTTAGTTCTAGGAGCCGCCCCACCTCCTGCTCGAGCAGAGCTTTGTGCAAGGGGTCCCCCAGGAGTGATGGGGGCAGAGGGGTGGTTGGGCAGGGAGGAGGTAAACTGGAGGGTGTAACCCCGGGAGATGGTGTTGAGGACCCATCAGTCCGAAGTGAGCCAAGAGCATTCCGGAAGGAAAGCACACAACCGGTTGGAGAAGGAAAGCTTTATTGCCCCCGAATGTCCCATCAAAATCGCCTTTTCCCTGCTTCCTTGCCCTTGGAGGGTCCAGGCTGGGGGGCAGGCCGAGACTGCCTGTGAGGGCATCTCTTATAGTCCCGTTGCTTCCTATGGGTGGCCTCGGGAGGGCGGCCAGGGTTGGAGTCTGCTGTGGCTTGAACTTAGGTTTTGCCAGAGCCGGGAAATAGAGACCCAGGGTCTGGAGGGTCATGCGGGAGTCCTTCATGCCATGCAGCCTTGTATCTGTTTCCTCCGCGAACAGAGCTTTCCCATCAAATGGGAGATTCTGCATGGAGGATTGCGCCTCACTGGAGAGCCCGGAGAGCAGGAGCCATGATGCCCGTCTCATGGACACCACGGAGGCCCTTGAACGTGAAGCCGTGTTCGCAGCATCTGAGGCAGCCTGCAGCGAAGCCCGAGCTGCCATTGCCCCTTCCTCCACCAGTGCCCTGAACTCCTTCTTATCGCGCTCCTGGAGGGAGACCTCAAATTTAGGCAGGGAGCCCCACAGATTAAATTCGTACCGACCCAAGAGGGCCTGATGGTAACTGGAAGCTCGAAGACTAATACATTTTTCTTTTGAAAGAGTCCAGTCTCTGAGAGTCTTTGTTCTTTGGGGGTCGGGGCTGGCTGACCCTGTTGTTCCCTGTGGTTGACCAACTTGACCAGCAGGGATTTGGGCGCTGGGTGAGTATATAGGTACTCATGCCCTTTAGTGGGTACAAATTACTTGCGTTCTGCCTTATTTGATATAGGGGCCAACGAGACCGATGTTTACCACAGGGCATTTGAAATTTTAGCCACCCCTTCATGGAGCGGCAAAGCCACCCTACCACGTGCCAATGGGGACAACATGTTGAACAGGAAGTCCAAGGGCTCCTCCATCTCCTCTGCCTGGAGGTGGAGGCTTGCTGCCACCCTCTTTAAGAGCTCTTGATGGGCCCTGAAGTCCTCCCGCGGGATGGAGGGAGGCGGGGCTGCAATCGCCTCCTCAGGGTGGGGCGAAGAGGCCGGTGTGGTGCTTTGGGTGTTGGTCAGCACCGGAGGATACACCACCTGGTCGGACTCCGGGCGCGGTACTGAGGACGAGCGTCCCACCGACTCTTTTGTCGGGGGTCTGGTGAGGGAGGCCGACGGTGCTTCTGAAGCTCCGGCCACCGAGTGAGCTCCCACTGGAGGCCACAGTGCCCACTGGTATCACTGGGCAGGTCACGACACTAGGTGCCACTGCACCTGCTGTGGCACCGGCGGGGCCGGCTGCCCGGGTTGACCGGTCTGGCCCGTCGAAAGATGGCTACGAATGGAGACCGGGCTGGCGTAGGATCCACTGCTGTCTCTCGACCGGGAGGAGTGGCGGTGGCAGGATCTGCGACGGTCACGGGACTGCGATCTTGATGTGGAGGACCGGTACCGACGGTAATAGCTGCTCCATGAACGGCCTTGACGGGCGGACCCGTGATGGCGAGGCGCTGGCGATCAACGCCCGGGACAGCGGTGCTTGGCGGAGACTTGGAACAGGAGCCCGAGTGGGAACGGCGTTGACGACAGTGCCATGACCGACTGCGGTACCCTCTCCGGGACGAGGACCGACGACGATGTCCGCCGCGGTCCCATCGACGTCCGCTCTCTGAGGAGGACCAGTGCCACGAGTCCCGGACGGACGGAACCCAGCCCGAGAGTCTGGTCAGCGTTGAGGGTGATCCACGTGGACCCTGCCCCGAGTGGATGCTGGGCGGTGATCGTCATTGGGAACGTTCCCTCGACCGAGACTGGTACCGAGCTGGGGGCGACTGTGGAGATCCCAGCGGCAGCTTGCCTCTGGAGCATGGGGCCGACATCAGCCTGTTCTGAAGGGGCCGGACTACTCCATTCTACGAGAGTTAGTGGCCTAGGGCCCGGTGGGGATCGAGAGCTACCCGACATGGGCCTAGCCTCTGTCTCAGACTTCCCTCAGTGCCGCTGCAAAGAGGGAGTCTTCTTGGCCCTCTTGGTATGCCCCGTGGACGGGGAGCGGTGCCGACTGGTCGATGGCACCGGCAGATCGACACGTACCGACACCGCGGTACCCGGTACCGGCACGTGCCAGGGTCAGGGTCAGTGCCGACTTCATCAGAATGGCTTGGAGCCTAATGTCCCTTTCTCTTTTGGTCCTAGGCTTAAACGATTTGCAAATCTTGCACCTCTCGCTGATATGGGTTTCTCCCAAGTAGCGCAAACAGTGTGTGCGGGTCCCTTCTTGGCATAGAACGCTGACAAGACCCGCACGACTTAAATCCCAGGGCTCGGGGCATGCCCTGGCCCAGGCTCACTGACTAACTAAACTAACTACACTAACTAACCACAAGTACTAAACGAACAAACAGTTCTGGGGACGAGCTCCAGCAAAGCTGGAGCGGAGCAGTTCCAACGCACCTTCACTGGCGGCAGGAAGGACCTGAGGGTGGGGGGAGTGCGCAGCTCCCCTTATACCGCGCCAGACAGGCGCCACTCCAGGGGTTGCAGGGGCGCTCCCCCCTACGGGTACTGCTAGGGGAAAAACTTCCGGCACGGGCTGAGCACGCACACCTATTGTGGAATACACATGAGCAATCATGCGAAGAAGAATAACCATTATTCCTTGGTCAGATTAAGTTTGAAACATCTCCCAGGCTTGCAAGTCTCAAGATGAGTTTTCATTCATACATGCCGTGACAAATATTGCCGAAATAATTTGACTAACAGCAACACACGCAGTAAGTAAGTCATTCAGATCTGGAATCTCTCAATTCTCTGGATCTGTGCAGGATACAACAATTCACCACTAAAGAAACCACTGATTTTTCTCTTCCGTTATCAATGCAAAGACATTTTTCTGTGTATCTGTTTCAGGCCCTGGTTAATGACTAGAGAGGATTTTGTTCTCACATATGCTATGCTATTGTGGCAAAGAGAAGCTGTGAACTCCTCTTACCACCTCCATGAAGAATGATCAGCAAAGCTGACAACACTTCCGCATGTTAACTAATTAAGTGAGCAGTCTCAGGAATAATTACCCTACACAATCTCCATCCATTTAAACAGTGTTAAAATCATAGCGCAAAGATACTGGCAACAAGTGTTCAGGCAACAATTGGACTTACATATGGCTGGGGCTAGCAAAGTTCCAGCATGGTTTCCCTGACCACTAAAGACAGGCTTTTGACCACGTTATTTAAATTTTCAGGGAGAAATTCCTGGCCAAGCTGATTAGGAAAATGGGGCTAGCAATAACTGTGCTTAAATGGTGTTAAGCTGTAGCAGGAATACAGTTAAAATGACAAAATGCAGGCACTACAAAGAAGAAGGATGATCTTACTTTTCAGGCATGGACCAGGACTAGGGCGATCTAGGTTCAATTTCTGGTGCTGTAAACTTCCTGTATGACCTTCGATAAGTCACTGTCTCTGTACCTCAATTCCCAACCTTCTACTTGCATGTTGCATCCGGTTTCCCATCCTTTGTCTGTCTGTCTTGTCTATTTAGAGGGGAAACTCTTCAGGGCAGGGACTGTCTCTTACTAGATGTATGTACAGCCACTAGTTCACTGAGGCCCGGAGGTTGGTTGGCTCTAGGTGCTACACTGATACAAATAACCAATAATATACAGATCTTCTACAGTGCTTTTCAACCATAGATGTCAAAGCATTTTACAAAAGAAGGCAAGTAGCACCCCCATTTTACAGACTGGAAAACTGAGCAGAGAGAGGTAAGGATACTTGCTCAAGTCACATTATAGATCAGTGGCAGAGGCAGGAATAGAAACCAGGTCTTCTGAGTCCAGTGCCTTACCCACAGGACTATGCTAGGAATGACAGCCTACCTTTAACATGTACTTATTAAGAATACTTTCAGGATTAGGATCATGTTTGCTTTTTTTTTTAAAAGGTTTACTATTTTGTATTTAAGAGGGCTGACAGTATTAGTATCTTTGCAGTGGTTACGCTCTTCTAGAGGGTCAGATCCTGAGAGCTGCTGAATACCCGCACCTTCCACTGAAGCCAATGGGAACTGTGGTATTCAGCACATCTTAGGGCTTGGGCTATGGTTTGGTACACTTCCTAATCTTGAATACATTCAGTTTACTACATTCACAGAATATATTTTATCCAAAAGAGCATCTGAAAAAATCTGACACTGCTCTAGTCACCAGCTGTCATTTAAAATTCTCTAGAAGCCTGCTACTCTGTCTGTTAATACTTAGGTAAGAAAAATGACCCAACGTTCTGCATTTCCAAAAATCACCAGTATGCTACTGGAGATGGAAAGACAAAGCAGTAGGTGAGAGAGTAAAACAAGCATGCAAAGCAAAATATAAAGCTGTGGACTGGGGGTCAGTATTGCCTGTGAAAGCTACCATGAGATTCCAGTGAGACACACATGGATTCACAGATTTTAAGACCAAAGGGGAACATTATGATTATCATGAATCATTCTTGTATCTCTTTTCAGAACCCTTTCCAATTTATTATATACAGAGGTTATAGCTCCCTATTCTACCTGATATTCTCCTGTTCATGCATCCCAGGATTGTATTTGCCCTCCTAACTACAGCACAGCAGTAGGCCCGCAACTCCCAATTACTATTTGCATTTTTATGTTCAAAGATTTCCCTCCACTCAGTTTTACCCGTCATTATATTTAACTTTGGGAAATTGACCTTTCTGAAGCACCAAGAATATAGATTATTGGTCAGGACTATCTTCTGTTTGCACATAGCAAATGAAATTAGATCCTGATTACTTGCACCTGGGTACCATCAGTTGTTAGCTCAGTGATCAATTCCTCTTTATGCATCAGCATGAGATCTAATATAGAATTGCACCAAGTCAGTTGCAATACTTTTTGTGCTAGAAAATTGTAATTATAATTTTTAGAAACTCCAAGGATATTTTACTAGTCGCTGTATGAGACCTCCAGCATATGTCTCCCAGACTGCATTTCCCTGTGATAAAGCAGTTTTTCTTTTTACACATTATAAATAAACGCTTAAGGAGCTGCTCATCCTGTTTCCTTGCAATTGCATGAAGTTTTTCTTTTCTCTGCTATGTCTAAGACACTGTCACAGAGCTCCATGGAGATCTAATGCAGCATTAACTTACCTGCAGTGGACAATGACTGGGGCATTCTTTTCTTCTGCACATTGCATGGCCTCTTCCACTTCCCGCACCAGTTGTAAGAGGGCTGGTGCTTGATCTGGTGTCTTTTGGTCTGGCCAGGATGTATACCAGTAATGTCGCAGGTTTCTTACTTCACCACCTTTCTGTGATCCAGTTATACAGAAAATTAGTACACTACTGCAAACATTTTCAAAGATTCTTCATCAAAACTGATAAACTGACAATCAGTTTCTTTGGGCATATCTACACCGTCAGTGAGTCTCAGAGCTTGTGTCGACAGACTTGGACTCACGGATTGTGCTACAGGGCTAAAAACAGCTGTGTAGATGTTCGGGATCAGGCTCTGAAGTCCAGGGAGCATGGTGGGGCTTCAGAACCTGAGCCACAATGTCTACACTGCTATTTTTAGTGCCGCAGCGCAAGCCCAAGTCTATAGAGCCGTGCTCTGAGACTTGCTGCTGTGGGTTTCAAAATGCAGTGTAGACATACCCTGTGAGAACAACAGAAGTAAACCAATGCTAAAGGAAAATGAGCATCCGCACACAAAGCCACAAAACACAGAAATTCTGATTTCAAGGATCACTACTGCATTTGAGCAAACTGTTAAAAAAAATTCACTAAAAACCCTGCTAAACTCTCATGCTCTTTTTCAGAGTTCTCTTTCCCAGCTCCTCTATATTAGTGCCAAGAGTTGTGTGCAAAACGATGTCTCCTTTATACTAGTCTACAGCCATCTTACTCTCCTCCTGATAGATTCATTCAGTAAGGCTACAGTGGTTTATAATAATTGTTTTACTGAAGTATTTGGTGGACTCTCAGATAGATTGATTGATTACCCTTGCTGTTTGTGTATTTTATATAAATAATAATATACACACTCACAGCAAGACATTCAGAGGAAAGTGAGATTTGTGCCTCTAGTTATGGCCTCAAGTTTCTCTTGAGGCACATTTCCATTTTCTTCAATGTCTCTGAGTCATTATGAAATCACCAAACATGCCACCAAATATTCATATGTACTCGTTTATTCTGCATGCCTCAGTTTTTGGTCATCAACATAATCCACCTTAGGCCTAAGTTTCAGAGGTGCTAAGTGGAGCTAGCGATCCCCAAAGTCTTGGCGTTAGCCTTGTAGAGACTGTCTGGAGCAGCCAGCATTCGGCTGAATAATTCTCTTCAAAAGGCAGGAAAGTGTCCAAGGAAAGTAACCTTTAGCTTCCACAGATCTCCTTTAAACACTTGACTGAGTTTTAAGGAAGCAGTGGAGAGCAATTTTGGTTTAAGACTAAGAACTAGGAGTAACATAATCAAAAATGCCTAAGGCCCAGATTTTTAAAAGGTGTTGCTCTGCTCAGCATTGCAATGCCTAATTAATTTAGACTTATTTTCAGAAGTGACAGACACACTAAGGAACCTTAGTCTCACAGAAAGTCAATGGGACTGTAGGCTGAATGGCCGTCCCTCCCTGTCACTCTCTGAGGGAGGCCACACCTCCTCGCTGCCATGTACCTGTAAAGGTGAGCTCAAAAGGAGGGAATTAGCTGCACCTAGTGCTCCAGCCCTCTGAGCAGGATGGCAGTCTGTGAGCCCCAGGCCATCAGCCAGGGCAGGGCAGCAAACCGTTAGTAGGCTCTGACCTGCAATCAGGGCAGAGCAGTTACGTAGTCTATGAGCCCCAGATAAAGGTGAGAACCAACAAAGTCTAGGGGCTCCGGCAGGGGAGAACAGTAGGGTACCACAGGCCTCCTGGCCTAAGATGGGGGTGCTGCAACCCCAAGGGTGGGGTTGTAGGGGATGCGGGCCCACCCGACTCCCCCACGTCCCAACCCAAGGCCCCAACAGTGGCAGAGCAGTCCGTCACTGGGTCAGCAGGGATCTGCCCGCAACCTTGTACCCAGCTGACCTTGTATCCGGCCAACACTCAACCAGAGAGTCATCTAGTTCCCCTGGGCTACTTCCTACGTCCCTGGGGTTTGGTACCTCTATACCGTGGGGGTCATCTGTCATCTCAGGGAGTTCTGGCCCATCTTCAGGCAGCAGCCCCAGCCCCCAAGCAGCTCCTTGGCATCTCGGTTGGCCGGTGGAGCTCTGGCCAGTCCTCAGGAGGTAGCCCCGGCAGCTCCTCTGCAGGCTGTCTCCTGTGGCGGCTCCAGCTCAACTTCTGCTTCCTGTTCTGCCCTTCTGCTTATGGCGGGGCAGACGTGGCTCCCCTGGTTCTGCCCACCAGAGAGCGTGTCGTGGTCTCTCCCTGTCACTCTCTGAGGGAGGCCATGCCTCCTCGCTACAGGGACTTGAAACTCTTAAGTCACCTTTGAAAATGAGACTGAGGCTCTCAGGTCAGTTAGGATTTGCAAAGCTGAGCAGAGAAACACCTGAATACCTTTAAAATCTGTGCCTAAGTCCCATTGACTTTCAGTGGGATTTAGGCTCTTTAAGTCCAGATACTCAAAGGTATTCAGGCTCCTACCTTCCACTGAAATCAATGGGAGTTAGTTGCCTAAATACCTTTGAGGATCTGGGCCCAGAGTCACTTTTGAAAATGAGATGTAGGATTCCTTGAGAACCAAGCCATGGCAGTCAAGAGCACTAGTTTTATAACTACATTTTGAAAACAGATTCCAAATATTATGAAAAATAGTGGTTCCAAAACACAAATGCAAGAAGAAAAGAAACAAGAATACTTCTGTGAAGTTACTCTTCCAGGGGATAGGAAAAAAATAATCACTAGTTCAAGATGCATTTAGTTTTCTTTACATTGTTACCGATTTGATACTTCCCAATCAGAGAACCCTGAATTCAGTGACATTGTATACATTCATTCCTACTGAAAAGAAAATACTCTTTATCTATGCTTCGTTGAGATTCAGGAGGTGTGGGGTTAGGTTGGGAAGAAACAAGGTTTAATTGGTGGTTCAAAGCCCAGAATCATGTTACTGCTAAAGCTGGGATAATTAATCAGTGGCTAGACCCTTGTTAGGTTCCTTTGAAAACGAAAAAGACTTCTTTCTCCCTTTTGCTTTATTCCTTTCTGAATTCCCAAAGCCTGCTAAGGCCTGACCTCTGTCCTGAAAGAATTATGATAAACCATCCTCAAACCTTGTTGCTGAGAAATGTGCATCAGTCTCTGCAGTGCAGCTGGTGGATCACATTAAATTTCTAATCAGTTTAGATGCTGCAACATCCTACCTCTATCTAAGGGAGAACGTCCATGGCATTGGAGAATGTGACGCAATTAATGGCTTCTGTGGTTTTCATTACCATGCCATTTATTGTAAGTATACTCCAGAGTGACAGGCATTATTGCCATTATATGATAAAAGAACAGTCCCAGACAATGACATCTCACTAAACAGCTCCTTTATTTCTCTTCTGGCAGCTTGGAACCATTCACCTACCAGCTTCATTTTTTTAGTACTGCCCCACTGATGCTGAAAGCTGAAGTGTTGCTTAGTTGAATAACCAAGTGGGGATGTGACCTTAAAATGAATGGAGGGAACAGGTTGTATGGAAAAGGAACTATGTGCTTGGACACATGTAATGCCAATCAAAGCTTCAGTGTCATTTGTGTCAGCATAACATTGTCATTTCCTGAAGGGATATATATTATAAATTTAAACCGTTTTTAGTCCTCTCTCCTTTTATATCTGCTGTCTGCTCTTTCCACGTCTTTTCATCTGCCTTGGGGTGGCTGGTGTTATAAGACATGCATGACCCCAACCAACAACTTGGTTTTAAAATTCTATTCCCCCCCCCCCGTAGAATCCTATATAACTATATACATAAAAGGGGCCAGATTTACACCTGCAATAAATGCACATCTGAGTAGAGCTAGCTGGAATCAGGATTTCCAAACAAAACCAATTTTTCTGAAATTTCTCAAAGCAGAAATCCCCAAAAGAATTCACTGCCAGGATCCTCAGGGCTTCTGGGCTTCCTTGTGCAGACCCAGGAGCCAAGCCCCAGCTAGAGCTAGGATTCCCAGGACTTTCAGGCTCTCTGCTTCATGGTAGGGAGTCTGGAAACTCTGATACCCCTGGCATGGCAGAGCTGCCCTGCAGTCATGGACCCTGGTAAACCTGGAGTCCCCAGCCCAGGAGCAGTGCAAGTGAAGGAGCTTTCCCAGAGCTGTGACCCCATACAGTATGCTTGGCGGGGTTGCCCTGGAGCTTTGGACTTTGGAAATCTGGGGCTCCCAGCCCCCCAAGCAGTCTGCCTGGTGATTCTTAACTGAAAACTTTTTGTGCTTTTGGTTTTTTTGTGTTGAACTTTTCCATGCAAAACAGACAGACACGTCTTGCAAAAAATTTTATTTGGCTGAAAACTCAATTTTCTGTCAAAAAACAGTTCTGACAGGAAAATTTCGATCAGCCCTGATCACTAGTATTAAACTGCTGCATTTACCAACAATTCTTGAATAACCTTGTGGACACTACACCCCAGCAGGGATTGTGAATTTCACTGAGATAGTTGCAGTAGCTGAGTGAAATTAACAAAGGCCTCATCTGTGAGACAAGGGGTCTCAAATGGACTTTGGCTCAATTTTATTCTCTCCGTTGTGTCACGTTGTCTGAGACATGGTTGTATCTAAGGATTATGCAAGTCTGCACATTCTTGGAAGCAATCTTTTCTTCCCCTTCCCACTTGTCTCAGAGTGTGATCTTCAATGGATCCTCTGCGCCAAATGCATGATTGACAAACTTTCCATGCTCTTGATCCAGACACAGGGATTCGTATGCCGGCTCTCTGCATATTAGCACATGGCTGGTGAGACTCAAAGCTGCTTGTGTGAAAGGAGGCTTGTTCGCAGTTTGGGAAGCAATTCTGCTTTGTTATACTGAATTCAGGCCTGGATCTGATAGATGAAAAGATGTGTGAAGATTATGCGAAGGAGACTTTTCCTATTTAAGTATATGTCTTGAGACCATGGAACCTAGTGAGTTGTAAAATAGGATGGTGATATCCTGGACCGGGTAGCAATAGACTATTTAATAAAATAAGTATGTGCTGGAACTCAGTATTCAGAGGGTGGCATGGCTGTTATTCGTCTGGAAATCTAAGTATTTTATTTCAAACAGTTAACTGGAAGGATACCATAATTAGAAAAGTTAACACTGGGGATGTAGTGGTGGAAAAGTGCTCAACAAGCTATCAGCAGTTTTATTCTGTTTACTGTAGCATGTTTCCTTTAAGCAGTTTCAGTGCTAGTTCACCTAACTGCTTAATAGAACAATAAGGATGATACGTATCAGAAAAGGTTTAGCCGCAGTGAGCGGTGGTGGAGTTACTGTACCATCAGCAACTGCTAAATAGATTGGTAAACACATTACTTAGGGAAACTGGGAGGGGACAACACTGAGGCCAAAGGAGTAGAACAGATGGTCTCGGAGGGACAGGACATTAGACTGGGATTCCTGAGTTCCTTTCCCAGCTTTACTCATATTCTCAGTGGCACAAAAGACATCTTAGCTTTCTATATAACATTTTGCACCCAACAATTTGACAAACACAACAGTATACAAGATGTTTAATAAGGTTAATATGAAGACTAGAAGCACAGTTTAAGCTTTTCCAAGATTAACAGCTGCCAGAGATCTCTACACAACCTAGAAAACGTAAAACCTCACATAAGGCCAAATCCTCAGCTAGCGTAAATCAGTATAGCTCCAGGGAAGCCAATCGAGTGAAGCCAATTTACACCAGCCGAGGAACTGACCCATATTGCACGAAATTCCTTGTACTCCATACAACATCATCACAAAGTTCCTGATGTTAACCTAAAGTCAATGTCTTCAGTATGATTTATAAAAGCCATTTCAAAGTTAGGTAAGACACTATCCACAGGCTAGCATGTCAGCATAGAAGACACTTGCACAGAATTACTCACTGGTCTCTTCCAGTGAATGAACACATTCCTGTACAAGTGGCCTGAAAGTCTTTAGACTGTATGCATTCAGTCTACATCTCCGACTGCTTTTATTATGGCATTGTTTACATTTTGGGGATCTGATCAAGAGCATCATGAATGCAGTAGCGACAAGTGATATTTGCACAGTAGTGCACAGTGGATACGATTTGTACTCAGTTCTCCATGAACAGTCCTGTTTAAGGCTTTGAATTTCTATGCTATTGTAAATATAGCTGAGCAATCTTACCTTCAGGGTGATGAGTCTTAATCGGTAATCATCTGCTTGTATGACCTGGTCAACTGTGATTTCTATTCCTTCATAGGTGACCTGTTCCTCTGGCCAGTACTCTGTACATTTCTGCATGCAACATAAAATATATTTAAGGAGACACCAATGGTGGTTCACTTCACTATGCAGAAACTGTGCCAAGTGTATGCTTAGCTGAATCAGGATGCCGAATGTTTCTGTAACAGGATGCAACTCAAATTTTTACTTTAAATATAGGGGCCAAAGTTTCAGGTAGTCTTCTTTGCAGTCACTCTGGTTAAAATCCAATGTGCAATTACCTCCCTCACTCACATGAATAAAACTTGGTTTGTGTGTGTGCAATGTGATGTATCTGCACATTTTTAAATTTCATTTGGGAAGCCGGTAAGAAATGTGGCAGTGTTTATTAATATTCTATTCTATTCATTTTTATTATGATAATGATTGATATTCATTGATAATCTGCTCTTTGATCATTAATATTTCTGTGCTGTGCACAAACTGATATGGAAATGTACCGTACACCTTTTCTGACTCTAATAAAGAGCCATTGCTCTCTGAATCTGAAATTATAATCTGCATTTCTTTTCCCTACAAAAGGACATGACTGGAAATGACTTTGGAATCTAGAGTGTGTTCAAAACCCCACTATAAAATGGAAAAAGATCCTACATCAAAGCAAAGGAACTAAAAGGAAGAAAGTGTCAGAATACAGATTTTAGTTTTGCTAACTCACTTTGGCCAAATCCATGGGCTCATTCAGTGCAACTGATACAGTCTTAATAACTGAAGCTATAATCCACATTTAAGGATATATTGTGGCATTTGTGCCACAATGTTGCCTGAGAGGTAATGGAGAGCAATGCTTCCCAGGGAAAGGGCTGGGGAAGATTGTCTCTCACCTATACAATTTCTCCTGGGGCTGCTCAGTGCACATGGAGTAGGACCTCTGCACATCAGCAGAGATTGCTCCCCTTGTAAGCCCATTCCAGGGACCAACGTGGGGGGGGGGGTCAATTCTGAACAAATGGCTCCCCAAGGATAAAACAGAGAGCAAGCAGCCCTCATGCTCCCCAGAGTACAGGGGCTGCTATTCTGGGAGGTCTTTGTGCACCCACATAAGTGAAGGGAGAGAGAATACTTGCAAGCCCTCCCTTCTGCAAAGTCCAGCACAATCTGGCCCTTCACCGTAAACTTTGTGAGCGAGTTAAAAAAAAATCTGCTGGAAGAGAAGGGCCAAGAACTAAAAAGTGTCTCAAAAAGCTGCTGGGCCAAATTCTCTTATGGTGTAATTGGATGCTGCTCCACAATGGAGCTGTGCCACTTCACACTAGAAACAACTGTGGCCCACTGTGTCACTGTAAACGCAGACTGAATTTTTTCCCTCCTCCTAAATTGCAGAATCCATTGTAAAAAGCGTCAAATGCGCCAGCAGCTATCAATAGCACAGACGCTATGCTGCTGAAATGAGTGGAGTAGGATCGCCCACACATTTCTGTGGGCTGTCTGTCAGTTCGGATTAGATGTGACAGAGGGCTGGGATACTGAGCTGTTCATCTCTCACGTTAGCAAAGCCACTGTGTATAGCAGAAGCACAAAGACTCCCTTACTAGCATCATGGCAGAACAAAGGTTTTAGTTCTGAAACTACACACTGTGGAGACCTGGTATTTATATATTAATATGTATTAGAAAGAAGGGAATATAGAAGATGTTAGCATGGAAGAGCTTACCCTATATTTATGTCTGAGTCTCACAGAATGATTTAATTTTTGATACAAAAGGTATCAGGAAAGACTCAGTATCTCTGTATGTTAGATATACGCTGCAGCCAGTGTCACTACTGTGATGGTAGCATGGCCGTGCAGTGTTTCCTGAGGCTGACATGACAGGTGAGATAGTCTGTTGGTATTGAATAACAGGAAACACTGATGAAAAGATTATTTTGCATTCTAGTGGTACAACCCAGATGTAAAAACAACAGTGGGAAAGCTTCAGAGCAGAGAAGACAATGAAGGACATGATTGCCTCTTGGTCTCTTCTTCCTTCTCAAGTGTATGGTCGTAAAATTTTCAAAAGGGCCTAAGTGATCTGGAAGTCTAAATCCCATTTTCTAAAGTGACCTAGGCATTTAGGGCCAGATTTTTAAAGATAATTGATTTCAATGGGAGTTAGGCACATAGGTACTCCCACTAGGCACCTTTCTGCATGTTCAGCTGCTTAAATCACCACTGTTTTGAGATCCTGTGGAATAACGTTATGATACTGGCCACAGAATCCCAAAACAGTGGTGATGCAAACTCTGGAAGCCTGGGACTTTGCAGATAGAATTGTATGGGATGGATTGGTAGAAATACATTCAATAACCACAGACGTTAACTCTCATAAATACCAATTCTAGCAGGGGGTGATTCAAAAAAAATTGGAACATCTTAATAGTTGCAATATTTTAACTGCATTTCCCCAAAATGCTAAACAACTGGGGCAGTCCTCCACATACAAATCATCTTTAACTTCTTCTCGTCATAACTAGCATTATAACATGGCATATAGTATGTTTAATGAAGCAGGGACGGCTTAATGGAAAAAGAATGCAGAAGATAAGCCAAAATAATACAGGATAAAGAGGTTCAGTCTCTGTTACTCTATTGTTTATAGGTATTCATATACAAAAATTAATAGGGCTTGAACTTGGTGGGGTGTTGCTTTTGAAACCTTCAGAGATGACTTCAAAAATGGTAACTGCAATGCACTATAAACTTTGGTCACTGAACCAACTCATTTATTTCCATGGGTCTGGCACCTGTGCCTGAAATACCCGCTACAACAGAGGATCGAGACATAGCTCATATGTAATATCATTACCTCATTCATCTCTTCTATATTGGTAATCATGACAATGATGGGAGAACGCTCCTGCCACACCATTCTCCAGAAATCACGGACAGTATTAACTATGGGTCCCTGAGTAGCAATATATACCTTTTCCTCTTCTCCATAGCCCTGCCAACAAAGCAACAATAAATCACTATCAAACAGTGTGTGCGCACACACGCACATGCCAATCTTTATCCAGGAAAAGCTCTCATTGGCTACAATGGGATTATTGCCTGAGTAAAGACTGCAGTATCAGGTCAACAGTTATCAATCCAAGAGGTATTGTGCTCACTCACTCTCTCACGCGCGTACACACACACACACACACACACAGGCAAGGTAGAAGGTGCGACTTCAGGTTATTGAAGCAGGCAACACTATGGCAATGAAATGGATTCATGCTACAACAGCCTGGTGGTAACTCTGGGTCAAATCCTGCAGGCATAATTCCCATTGACTTTGCTAGGAGTTTTGCTTGCATCAGGCCAGTGAGGCAGGGAACTTCATGTCAAAAAATGCAAATATCTTGTTTTTATTGGACCAGAACCTTTACAGTTGCGCTCTGAGTTTCTGTTTCCGATAATACAAAAACAAGAGAGAAAAAGAAACCAAAACAAGATGGTCTTTAGAAGCCAATGGACATTGTGGTTATTCTTAAATGATCAGTTTCTAACAGTCTATGCAGACACATTGGACTGCTGAGCTCTTACCCTGATGTAGTTAGCATTGATATATGAGCTAAGAGGATCGTCCTGATCAGTTGAGGTAAGGCACACTCTGCTGTGAGGATCTACAATGTGTAAAGAGATAGTTAATAGTTATCAGTCAAGAGGAGAAAAAGGGTTTTAAGATCATTTTCTAACCTTTAGTAATACAGCTAATTACTCAGGCATATTCATTAGTAGCCACAGCCGATACCCGCGATGCTCTAAAGGGGGCACTGGGGAGTCTCTGATTGAAATGTGTGTCTATATCACTGCATTTACTGTCAGTGTGCAACTATCAACCGATATTTGCATGCAACAAAATTAATTATCTTACTGAATTAATATTACTGCTCTAAGTAGAGGGGTAGTTCATCATTTATAATTGTAATAGCATTTGAATGATTCTTGGCGTTGGACTATGCTGTCTAGGTCTAAGCTTTGAGATATTAAATGTAATGTATGCAAGCCCACGACATTACTGGAACTTGCTTTTGCGTTAATTTCATTTTTACGTGCATTAAAGTATTATTTAGCAAACAGTGTTAACAAGCAGTGACTTCAGTGTGGCTTTCTGCCTGAGTAAGGACTGAGTAAAAACTGTGTTAGGACCTCAAGATTTGCCCCATTCGGTTTTATAAACTCTATCCCTAACCTTATTTTTTGGCCTTAAATTAAGGCCTTGTTTACACAGAATAATTGCACCATTTTCACTATACTGGTACAGTTAAAGCTATACAACCCCCACTAGAGTGGATGCAGTTATATTGATATATCTTAGGGCTTGTCTACACATAAACCGCTACAGCAGCACCTAGGGGTGCTGCTGTAGCACCTCAGGAGAATCCCTCCTGTCAGCATAGGTAATCCACCTCCCCAAGAGGTGGTGTCTAGGTCGACAGAAGAATTCTCCCATAAATGTAGTGCTCTCCATCCCAGGAGTTAAGTTGGTTTCAGTGGATTTTTCACATCCCTGAGTTATACTGACCTAATTTCCTAGTGTAGACCAGGCTTTATTCATTGGGGAATAAGCCATATCAACACAAGCACTGTAAGTGCATCCACATCAGGAGGAGTTATACTGGTATAACTATTTTGGTAAAAAAACAAACAAACAAACAAAAAAAAACCCAACCCTAACTCAGGGGTGGCCAACCTGTGACTCCAGAGCCACATGCGGCTCTTCAGAAGTTAATATGCGGCTCCTTGTATAGGCACCAATTCCGGGGCTGGAGCTACAGGTGCCAACATTCCAACGTGCAGGGGTGTGTGTGTGTGTGCGCTCACTGCTCAACCCCTGGCTCTGCCACAGGCCCTGCCCCCACTCCACCCCTTCCGGCCCCCTCCCCTGAGCCTGCCGTGCCCTCGCTCCTCCCCCTCCCCTCCAGAGCCTCCTGAATGCCACAAAACAGCTGATTGGGAGGTGCGGGGAGGGAGGGGGAGGCGCTGATCAGCGGGGCTGCCGGTGGGTGGGAGGCGCTGGGAGCGGGGGGGGGGGGAAAGAGGGGGTGCAGCTGATGCAGGGCTCCTGCCGTATTACTGTGGCTCTTTGGCAATGTACATTGGTAAATTCTGGCTCCTTCTCAGGCTCAGGTTGGCCACCCCAGCCCCAACTGAAATAGTTATACCAGTACAAAAACAGTGTGCAGACCACGCCTAAGTTGACAGTGTCCCTTAAAATATTGTCATATACTTACACCACAAAGAAGCAAAACAATGTTAGTTATTTTTCTACAGTCTTTTCTAAGAGTGTTTTGAGCCTATACTAGGTTATGTAGTAGGATCTCACCAGGCTGAGATTTTTTTAAATGAAAGTGACAGATAAGAATACCTAGTTCATAGATACAAATTTTCATCAGTAGAGCTCAAAGTAGGTTAGTATCATTAGCGCCATTTTACAGATGGTGATACTGAGTCCCGGAGAGATGAAGTGACTTGCTCTAGTGGCAGAGCCAGGAATAGAACCCAGCTCACCCGAGGCCCATTGCAGTACTCTATTGCTAGGCCACACTGCCTCCCTAACAATAACACTTACTGAAAAGTCTTACAAAATTTAATAAGGAGTGAAAGCAATATGGCTCTATACAATTAAATAAGGTTGCCTAGGAATTTTGCTTAGAACCAAAAAGACTGAATGAGAATGATATATAATATCTTTCCTTTTTAGATTTTGACCCATCTAAAAATTCCATAGCAAGGATAAAATTTCCTATTACATTCTGCAAGATAATCCAAAAAATATAGAAAAATGATAATTTTCTATTAAATTCTGTGGGACTTTTCCATAAGGGAAGAGGTTTCAGATTTTTTGTCAACATGCAAATTTAACAGTTTCTGAAACAGCCAAATTAATCTGCTTAGCTTGGCACGTCTCCAAAATTAAACACACCCTCACCCCTTAAAAAGACTCCCCAAAACCATCTTCACCACCACCAACTTTAAAATTGGGAATCTGCAAAAGAAATTTACTACAAAAGAAATATAAATTAACTGAATTAGAGCCTATTATCATGTTCCTCACTGACTACAATTAACTCTAGGGTTGCACGTAAACTAATCATTATGTTAAGTGCCTGCTTACCTTTCAATGGTAACCGCCCCAAATACTTCTGGAGTACACAGCTGGGTAGGGAATTTTAGGTTTTTTGTTTGTTCTTTAATTTTCAGGGTATACTTTTGGTTTCGATGTCACTTTTATAATGAAGTGCCTGCTGCTCCCTAATGTAGATTGGAGGTCATATTTGGCTGAGTCTGCCATTGGCAAATAGATCAGCGCTACAGCATAGGTTTTGCTGTGTAACATGTCAGCCGTTCCTTCCATAATTGCTTGGTGCAAGCGAACAGTTACGAAGACCCTCGTAGTGACACAGACAGCATAGGCTGTGATTGGTTAGTCTGGAAACTAAAGAGCCAGGAGATCCACATAGTCATGAACCCACTGGCCACCTCTTCAGCCCACCCCATCATGCCCTCAACGCTCTCTCCTCCATGGTACTGTGAAGAGAATGGCTAAAGAGCACAGCTTTATGGCAGGAAGGGAGTACATAATACCCCTGTGTGGTGTACCAGTTCCCCACCCCTACAATGGAACTGGGTGTGTTCCATGTAGAGGGACAGAGGGCAGAACTTAAATAATTCCAACAGAAGTGATTATGGTGTGTCCTTTCGTTTCCCATGTGGCAGCCTGCCATCCTCATCAACCAAGTGGCATTGGGTTATGTTTCATAGATATGGATGGTTTTGAAATTCCTGATTTTTATTCCAGTTAGTGGAAAAGTCTGATTTCCTCTGGATAAATTCCTTGTTAACATTTATAGTCAGTCTAGAGTGGGAGCCAGTTCTCCCATCTAGATGGCTCACAGCAATGGAAATGAGTATTACCAGATTTTGTAAGACCGAGGTGGAGTTAGCATCAAGAGAACTAGCTGAGGAATGACCAAGTAGTTACTGAATGCACAGGGGAAAAGCGAACAGGAACCTGATTAAGAGCTATAGGCCAAGATTTTCAAAAGTGGCTAGCAATTTTGTGTGCTTCCACTTTTGAGTGTTTAACTTGAGACACCTTACAGAACTCCAATCTTCAAAAAGGTGCTGGACAGCCGCCTTTGGAAATCAGGCTCCTTTAAGGTCTGTCAGTTTGGGTGCCCAAATGGAGGCACTCAGAATCACTAGGCATTTATGAAAATCATCGCTGTAATGTCCAAACTAACGTTGAAAGAAATGACAAGGCACCCAACCATTAGCATGTTTTAGGACGAAGGTTCTGAAATGTTTGGCTGAGTGTTTTTAACACTTCTGGTCCCAGCTGGAAATGTCAAAACATCACTAGAAGGGGTATCTACATGGGATTTCTGTCTAAGACTGGAAGTTTGAGAGTTGGAGATTTCAGGAGAAAGCCTATTCTTGCCAGATTTCCACTCCAGTTTTGTAGACTAACGTGATTTGCATAGTTGATCAGATTCTAATTTCTGGATACTTATCTGAGCCTAACTAGCACTCTGAACCATTTGGGCTTCCCTAACAAAGCTGCAACAGAGCTTAATGGCGGCATCTATCTGATAATGGCTTAGAAAAAAAGAGAAGGATCTGTCAAAACATTAATATTCAGACACGACATCTTATAATTGTATCACTTTCCAAACTATCTTTAAGTGTGACAGAGGGGAAAACGATAATGGCTATAAAATCAATCCCAAGCAAAATGTTTCTCAAAATTTCCATTCTTGGCTATAAGTAATAAAGCAACTTACATTTAAAAAAGAAAGATGTATTATATTTTCTTAAAGAGATTGGGCCAAATCCTGAGACCCTTATTCATTTTTCACTTGGGGCCTTATCCTGAGAAATGCTAAGCACATTAGGCCCAATCCAGCACACAGTGATGAAAGTGGGAATCTTGTCATTGACTTTAAAGGGCAATGGACCAATGCCTTCATTAAGAATTAAGTCAGAATTGAGGTGTTCAGTACCTTTTAAAATAAGGCTTATTGAGTGGCACCTTATGACTCAAGTAGTCCCATTGGTTTCAAAGGAAGCACTTGGATAGTAAAATACAGCTCAGCATGAGTAAGGGTGTCAGAATTTAGCCCTTAAACACGAGTTTACCAGAGGAAACGAAGTAAAACCTGAATAAAGGCATCAAGATTTTGGGCAAAATTTTCAAAAGCATCTAGATAATTTAGGAGCTTAATTCCTATTTTCAAAAGTGACTTAGGAGCTTGAATCCCATTGGCTTTCAATAAGACTTAAGCACCTAAGTCTCTAATGAAAATGGGACATGGGTGCCCTTGCTCAATGTTAGCTTTAGCCTACAGGAGTATCCTGGAGAGGATTTGTGAAAGGCTTTCCATCGAAAGCAAGAAACTAAGCAAATACTGGATACTGAGACTTCACTAAATACTGCGTCATCGAATTGCAGAATTACAAAATAGGTTTGGAACTTACTTGGGAGAATTGTTTTGTAGCGATTCTTCCGCACTAATCCTGGAATATCATATTCCTTTGGATCAACAAAGTTCATTGGGATTTCCTGTTGGAAGATGCACAATAGACTATATTAATAGATTCACAAGGGGAAAAAAACCATTACGTCTTGACTGTGGAGGAGTAGCAGAGATGAAGTCAATTGAGACATATGGTATAGTAGTTCTAGCAATTTACCACCAAAGAATGACTGATGGTTTCCTTTTTGTGTCAATGGTTTTCTTTTTTGAAATCATGAATATAAAAACTGCTCCGGATGACTAATTCCGTGAGTGGTGCACAGTATGGCACTATTTCAGCTCCTAATATTATTAGAAGTGTATTGTGACTTGAGGCATAGATGTAAGCCAAGGATGGTGCGTAAGCTGCATCACCCCAGGAAGCACAGTACTTCAGACACACCCCTCTGAGTCACAATTCTTCCCCTTCTTCCTCCTTGTTAAAACCGGGGCAGTAATTTGCTGCTGGCCTGCATCTGCAAATTACAACACCCCCCATCACAGCTCAACTGCACTGGCTGAGTAGTATGGGGGTGGGGGATGGAGACAAGGAACCACCCAGTTTTTGCCCCTTCCCATCCACCTTCTCTGGGAGGGGGGACAGTAAGTGGGTACTGTGTGTGCACCTACCTCTCCTACACAAATAGACCCAAGGTCCAGGTAGCTCACACAGGGCTGTTGGGGATGGGTTCTTACTCCCTTACACAAGTGTGCAGGCCAAGTCACTAACTGGCCCTTAGAGGGTGAGTTCTTCAGAGCAGGGCCCTGATCCTCAGTGGGGTCTTTGGGCTCTATCCATGATATAAATATTATATAACAATAATAGTTTCTTAAATGAGCTTTAACAGGGCTACTTCTTTATCAGAAAGAGCCATGGGGAGAAATAACAAGAGAATTAGCACTGGGTTATGGAGCCGTTCACATTTATATTACAGATTCAAATCTCAGAGCTCAGGCTGGTTTCATTAGGAGCCATTTGATTACTCTTTAGTGGGCTACAGCATGTGAAATTAGTTGATCAATTCATAGTGGATGCGTAGCCACGTAAAGAGACCAGAGCTTGGTTTGAGACCAAGGAGTGAATGTGATCACAGAGATTAAACTCCCCTCAGACCCTGATTTCCCCCCCTCAGAACAGGATAGAGCAGGGGTGGGCAAACTTTTTGGCCTGAGGCCCACATCTGGGTATGGAAATTGTATGACGGGCCATGAATGCTCACAAAATTGGGAGTTGGGGTGCGGGAGGGGGTGAGGGCTCCAGCTGGGGGTGCGGGCTCTGGAGTGGGGCTGGGAGAGGGGCTGGGGGTGCAGGAGGATGCTCTGGGCTGGCACCGAGGGGTTCGAGGACAGGAGGGATATCAGGGCTGGGGCAGGGGATCGGGCCGCAGGAGGGGGTCGGGGTGCAGGCTCCAGGCGGCGCTTACCTCAAGCAGCTCCCAGAAGCAGCGGCATGTACCCATCCAGCTCCTACGTGGAGGTGCAGCCAGGCATCTCTGTGTGCTGCCCCGTCTGCATTCACTGCCCCTGCAGCTTCCATTGGCCGCGGCTCCCGGCCAATGGGAGCTGCGGGGGCAGCCCTTGGGGCAGGGGCAGTGTGTGGAGCCCCCTGGCTGCCCCTACACATAGGAGCTGGAGGAGGGACATGCCGCTGCTTCCAGGAGCTGCGTGGAGCGGGGCAAGCCCCCGACCCCGCTCCCTGGCTGGAGCCCTGGAGCAGGGCAAGCCCAGGACCCCACTCCCCAGAGGGGCTCCAGGGCCGGATTAAAACATCTGGAGGGCCGGATGCGGCCCCCGGGCCGTAGTTTGCCCACCCCTGGGATAGAGGCATGAAGGCAGAGCTTGCTCTGGTTCTGTGTTTAATATGTTCTGTGGGTAAACAAAAGGTAGAAGATTGTTAAAATTAAACACTGCGTTTTCTACTCCAGGTGCTCTTAGCCTGCCTCTTACCCAAATTCATGGTGGAAAAAGCATTAGTAATCTTCCACCTTAGCAAGCACCCAACCAAAAAAATAAATTGCTAGAATGGAGGTCATATTTTGTGGTGGATGCTACTTTGCATATGCAGTTTTGCTGATCTTTGCTTTACCTAATTATTTTGTATTTAGCCATGTGTTTTCCTTGCTTTCCCTGTCCCTTATTATCAGTGATTTTGAGGAGATGATGTCTCAGAATATGCCAGAAAGGCCACATTTTTATATGCTTTTATTCAATTTAATTTTGAAAAAAAGCCCTCATAAATCAGTTCCTAGTGGGTCCCATAGGGAACTGAATGCAGAGGTCTAGGTGTTTACTTTGACAGATGGACAGATGAGCAAGTTAGAACTGGTAATGCAATTGACCCAGGGTCTCTTCTTGCAGCCAGTTTTATTAGCTAGATTTCTGTTTATAATGTATCCAAGAATTAGCTGTAAGAGACTGAAAGAAAAATAATCATACTTTCTGTCTCCCCAATCCCTATTACAATCAACACTCTCTTAATCTGTCAAATGAAAGGAAAAATTGACAACTTGTAAGTCATTGTTGATAACAATTTTCCTCAAACATGGGAAAAGGAATTAAATCCCTTTTCTGTTCCAATAGGACACACTTGTCCTCGCCCTGATTATCTCCCACCTTTATTCCTACCACCTCCTTTTCTCTAGCCTCCTGGATGCCCATAGTACTAGTCAAAATGCAGCTGCTCAAACGACCTTCCTTGCTAGTCAGACTGACGGTCACCCAACCATGCAAATCCTTTCACTAGCTCCCACCACTTGTATGCTGCACCAAGGTTAAGCTTCTTGTCCTCGCCTTCTGAAGGCCCTATAAAATTCCACTCTGGATGACACCACCCATTTGTCTCTTACTACATCCATTCCCCACTCCTATCCACCTCTGCTCTGCTGATGATGCCATTTATGCAATCTCATTCATTTCTCTCTCTCCTTCCAGTCCCCATGGTTTTTCCCACACTATCTCTGGTGTGTCAGCCAAGATGGCAGCCATTATCAATGAAGTGTTCTCTTCCCGTTTCATCATGACACCCTCCACCCCATCTCTGCACTGAATATCCTCATCTGTGATATCCACAGGAAGGGCCACAAACAATGATAAAGAAGTAAGAATAGCAATTCCAAATCTATTCCCACCCCATGCTATTTCTTCCTCTAGTCCCCTCAGTGCTTCTCTGTTTTCTGGGCTAGATTCTAATCTCTTTGGGACAAAAGCTATACGCATTGTGTGTCTTGTATAGCGCTGAGCACACTTTTGGGGCTTAACAAACAATAAATTGTTATACAACATTTCTTGGAGCTAATTTCCACCTTTTTCAGGTGTACTGTTGAGGGCAAAATCCAAAGGGTCTTCCTTGGGTTTTACTTAGTATTTAGTCATTCATAACTCTCCTTGAGCCAGACCCTGAGGTTCTTCCTCAGGTTTTACTCACTCACTACTCCAGCAAACTCTTGCTGAAGTCAAGGGGAATTTGCTTGCGTGAGAAAAAACTAAGGCCAAGCCTATACTACAGAGCTATATTGGCATAACTATGTCACTCAAGGGTGTGAAAATTCCACACCCTGAAGCAACGTAGTTATACCAACCTAACACCTCATGTAGATAGCTCTCGGGGCGCTGGATTAACTACGCCAACAGAAGAAACTCTCCCATCATCGTAGTAACACAAGCCCTAAGACATTCAGCATTCGGACCAGCAGGTATTGCTCTTGACTTTCCCTTCGAAGCGTACGCACAACTTGATGCTTTCTCCACCATGAAGTTGAGCATTTCTAGCCATGTGAGTAAGAGACAGGCAGAGCACATGGCGTAGCAAGTTCAGGGTTTATTTTAACTAGAGCTGGTCATCATTTTTGCATATAAATCTTTTTCTGACAAAACATTTTATGGGGAAAAAATTCAAATTTTTCCCCACAGAAAATAAAGTACATTTTTGACTAGTTTTAATATCACTTTACTAGCCTGTAATATGGGGCAGGTCACATGGGCTACAACAACTCACTCTTGACTTGCCCAGCTTGATTACAGTAGCCAGCTCAGGCACTTCCTCAGCAAAGATGCATCTCAATAACTACCTTCCTCTAAAACAGCCCTGTCCATTATTAAATGTTTCATTTTTAAACAGTCAGGATTTGTCTACACACAAACGTTTAATTGCTTTAATTATACCAGCATAGTTAAAGAGATCCCACTCTTCTAGTGTAGACACAGCTATATCAATATTATGATGCTTATACCAATTATTCCCATATGGGAAAGGTATAAGGACATTATATCATATTATGTATAAGGCACTTTCATACCAGCATAATTACATCCATATCAAGGGTTGTAATGGTATAAACTATACTGGTAAAATAATCACACCTCTTACCCACATAGTTTTTGTATGGGTATAACTACATGAAGACTTGGCCTCAGTAGTGACAACCATGCTCCTCCCCCAGGGTAATGTGATAACTGGTTCCATTACTCACAGCCACCAAGGAATCAGTGATGAGTCACAAAGTAGATTTGGCTTGATGGTTTTCCTTTGACAGATGCTTTGTCTGTCTCCTGTTTTCTTTAGCCTATCACTTTTGGGCACTTTCTGATGGCCAAATCTTAAGGTCTTTAATGAGCTTTTCCTCAGTGCTTCCTCAAAAGGGAATGTGGGACTGAAGGAAAACTGAGTAAAAAATGTGTAAGGACAACAAGGGTCTGGCCTTCTGTTTGGAAACTATGCCCCAAAATGTCTTCTCTGCCTCTGAAAGGGAAGAAAGCCCATCAGTTGCAGGTGGGGGGAAATGGAAAGGGAGTACTCTGAGGTGTTGTTCCATTCTTTTCTCTGCTCTATAAAAGGTCCTCCATGGATTCTCTGTCAGGTCAGGAAGTAGGTGGGCTCTGGGGGCAGCAGCTGTGCAAAGCATCATCCTCCTGCCACTCTACTGGGATTCCATGCTTAAGAGAATGCAGACTGGGTCAGCATTAACTTAGGTGGTTCCCACCTGCGTGCTCTGAAAGACCCTGGCATGAAAAGAGGCATGAAGTTGGGTGAGGATGAAGCAAAGGGCCCGATTCTCTGTTGCTTAGCATGCTGCACAGTCATTTTCACTCATGCAAAGTGGGCATAACACACTGTTAAATCAGAATTCTCCACTCACTCACACTCGTACTATCCTTTTGCGCTCACTTTGCCCAGGTACAAATGACAAGTTGCATGACAGTGGAGAATCGAGCAGTTAGGACAGAAGCTTGGATAAAGAGCAGAGCAACTGAAAAGCCATTGTGCTAACTGCAATTAAACGTAGCCAGCCTTTTCACAAAGCTGCTCAAAAAATCCAATTTTACTTGTAAATGATGCTTGTATTTCCATCAAAAGCAGAGTCAGAATGCTTCCCCAAAAATAAAAGTGGATACATGAAGTGAGGGAAAGATACTTTCAGATTCATACTGTCAACTGAAAAAGCAGCTAATATCTAATGAACATTTTTCTAAGTGGATGAGGAGGATAGTTAGTGCAAACTCTCTGTGGCATTTGTTAAGCGGGACAAACACTATTTGTTTCACCCTCCGATAACTTTCAGACAATTCAGAAGAGCAGCTCTGTACAGAGTATCCACCAGGAAAGTGGATATACTAGCCTGGTGTAACCCTCTGGGATTCAAGAGTTAAACCCAAAGCAAATTTGACTCTTTTTCTTTAGTCTAGGGCAAAACTGTGACATTTTTGTTAAGAAGTAACATGCTGAGAAAAAGCCTTCTGAAAACAAAGCTAGATCTTCATTACCAGGACTAGGACTGTAGTCTGCAAATGAAAAGATAGCTGAAAGCCTTCAAATTCAGTCATTTCCAAGTGTAACAAATTTGGGGATTTAATAAAGTGCTTCACTGAAGGAACTGGAGTGTGTATTTATTTATTCCAGTGAGAGTCACAGGAGGTGGCAATGTCCCATTTTTCAGATGCCACAAACTCTTCTCTCAACTTGAGAAGTCAAAATACTCACAAAAAACTCTGTCTGGAGTATGAAAGGGTCTAATGCTTTCTTGTGTAGCTCCTCTGCGGTAAGAATGTTCGATGCCGTTTGTAGGTATTCTCGGGCTGATTGTTCTCTTGGTGACATGACATAGCCGAAGACTTGCTCGGAACAGCCTGGGGTACACATGTCCAGCGTGAGTGAAACATTTGAACCTCTCCTGCAAAACACAGCCCCAGGTGAAGACATCAGTTATGAAGGCTATGTGAAACACTCTCCATTAATTAAAACATGTCTTTCCATTTGGCCTTTATCTGCTTTCCATGAGACAATGGTGCTTTTGAGGGTGCAATGAAGATTTTGGAACTCTCAGAGCTTGTCTAAACTAGAAACAACTGACATTCCTGACAACAGGTATCAGCAATAGGTGCAGCTGAATGTGCTAAGACAGTTTAGCAGCAGGCACAGACAAATGTGCAACACTGGTTCACTGCACTTGTTGCTGACTCCCACTGGTTAGGAATGGGTAATTTTTCTACTGTAGACAGACCTCAAGCAACTAGTCAGACTATGGCCTGGTCTACATTGTGGGGAGCGGGGAGGTGAGGGGAGGAAGGGGGAAATCGATCTAAGTTACAAAAAACAACAAGGAGTCCGGTGGCACCTTAAAGACTAACAGATTTATTTGGGCATAAGCTTTCACGGGTAAAAAAAACCTCACTTCTTCAGACGCATGTAGTGAAAGTTACAGATGCAGTCATTATATAATGACATATGATGGTGTGGCTGATGTGAATAAAGTAGCTGAAGTCGAGTATTTAGATCTACTTACCGCAGTGAGGACACTGCGGTAAGTCGATGGCTGACACTGTCCCATTGCCTGCACCTCTCGCCCTGGTGGAGTACAGGAGTCGACAGGAGAGCACTTGGCGGTCAATTTATTGCATCTAGACTAGACGCGATAAATCGACCCCCGCTGGACCGATTGCTGCCCGACATATACTCCTTCTTCCTTCCACTGTAAAGTTGCCCTTCCCCAGGCGTGAATCCCCTCCAGCAGGAACACAACTTCCCCAGCTGGTGCAAGGAGTAAATTAATCCATAGTGGGTCTATTAGCTTACAATCCAAAGAAGGTTACTGACTTGGGGAATGGCCTATTTATAAAACAATTACTACTAGTAGCCAGATGTGTGACAATTTATTTTTAGAAAAGACCAGTCTGACAACAATGAAGAAATAAATGAAGAAATAAAGTATGGGAGAGTCTTTCAGTAGAAAAGATGACAGAGGGCCTTATATCAGGATCAAAGAGATTTTATAATATACAGTTACCATTTTCAGAATCTAAACAAAATAAACATACAGATAAAAATAAGAGGCTGACCAAATATAAATAGGTTTTCTAAAGGCAACAAACACAGATTACGAATGAGATTTGGTAACATGGGTACCGAAAGTTGTTAATGATAAAACAAAAAGTCACTATATATCTCATAGTTGTGACTGTCCTGGAAACAAAGAGCACATTAAATAACCATTCAGTCTAGAACTGATGTTTTAAAACAAAATACATTAATTTAATGCAGTGAAACTACCAATTTGGTCCATTCAGAACTTCTAAACTCTACATAACTTGTGCCAAATGCCTTGCTCTCCATCAGAACTATCCTACCTTTCTTGCAATCCCACTGATTTAACTGTCAGAGTCGCTGGATCCGTCTCTGCTTTGATGTCCATCACACAGTCAAAGACCGGCGTCTCTGGCACTGGATCGAAATCTAGAAAATCATCCTCGTTTTTATCCTCTGTCCACTCCGAATATGTGAATGAAGGCTGGCGGCTCACAGACTGACGCCTGTCCTCTGGTAGGGGAAAGGGGGGATCCGGATGGGTTTTCACAAGATACCAAATCTGGAGGAAACAAACAGTTTTAAAACTATCTATGTATTTCCAGATCTTCTGTAAACTCTAAAGACAGATACACCTTTTGAGCAATCATCTCATTCATTATACCCCAGCAAAATGGAATTGCACTAAAGAGAACAGGACAGTTTCATACATGAGGAGCTTTCCTGTACAGATCACAAGAATACACCTTCTCCTATTCTAATCCTGCTTCCAGGCACAGAGGGTTCCCTGTAGCCTGTCAGCCTTCGCTCTGGAACACAGTGGAAGCATTCTGTGCTTGTGACTATTACATACAAGCCAATGTGAAATCACTGTCCTTTTGTTTAATTGATCAACTTTCACACAGTGTTAACAAAACTCTGTTAATCTACAGATTACCACCTTCCCTGATTTAGATGCTGCCCATCTGGGATTTGGTTGGGTGTAAAACAAGTAAATACCAGTTTCCCAAACCTCAAATCTCTGATGATCTGGCACCGTATCCCAAATTCATATCCAAATTCACATTTGTTTTTCACGAAATCCCCATTTTACAAAGGTTTCATAAAGCGCTTCATAAAACCTGCACCCATTTTCAGTTCAGTGATAAAACCTCTTCTGCAATCTAATAATCTGATTTAAACAAGACAAACTGTAGAATAAATTCTGTTAAATTATGTGAAACAAATGTCTTAAATTAAATGTCTATAGTAAAATGAAGGATCGAGAATGACACAAATTTAAAAACGATTGTACCATAGGACCATTATGATCACCTAATCTGACCTCCTGCATAGTACAGACCGTAGAATTTCACCCATAATTCTTGCATTAAGCCCTTTCCTCTGAGCGATACTGACTGATGCACAGGCACCAATTATTGCTAATATGTTTTGTTAATGAAATTTCATTGCTCCTAAATTAAGCCTACTGCTTAGTTCCCCCAGTGCACTGACTTTCAGTGGGAGTTAGGCCCCTCTGAAAACCCCAGCCACGCTGGTTTACACAGATGCTGTGGCAGATTATATTGTTTGAGAACATTAGGTTGGATTTATTTGCAATTAGCAACAGGCCCTAGTGGCAAAGTCTGAGATCAGATCTGTACTTTGCCAAAGTCCTGAGATGTTTAGATCTGGGGTCTTGGGCTGAGCCTGTCTCTACTGCACAGGGCTAGGAACAATCTAACTCAAACTAATTTGGGGCTAGGTCCTGCAAAGCACTGCGCTCCTCCTTTCACATGCTGAGTGCCCTCAACTCCTTTTGAGTCCAGTGGGAGTTTGAAAGCACTCAGCATCTTGCAGGATAAAGCATTTCTTGGTTTTTTTATTTTAAAGGGACACTGTCAAATGTGAAAGTCGTGCACTGTCAAAAAGTCAAGTTTCTTTCCTTAAGTTATAAACAACGACCTAGAATATTAACTCAGAAAGGATTTTAAAAGCCAATTTTCTTGTCACTAGACATACTTGTCATTTATTTCTGGCATTTCTCTCAGCTTGAACAATGAAAATTAATGAAAGAAGTTTTCACTTTTGTTTATAGGCAGCTTCAATGTTAGGTTCCCATGCACTAGCACCGCACTGCAAGGCTTGGGTTACAAATACTGAAGGGGAACAGGCATCTGTTTAAACAGATCTGTTTACACTGCAATTATTTAAAAGAAAATTATGGAAACATTTCTATTGGCCTTATGTTTTAGAAAAACTTTGGGCCAAATATGAGTCGATGGTGCCCTTTGAAGTTTGGCTTGAAGCATGAACGTTAGAGATCTGAGCTCATTATTATTTCCAAAATTCACTTTTGGAACTCGCAAATGCCACAGTTCTATGGACCTCTATTGTCCCCATCAGTGTGTAATGTTTGAGCACCTCCCAATCTTTAATGTATTTATCCTCACAACACTCCTGCAAGTAGGGCAGGGATATTATCCCTGTCTGCGAGATAGGGAACTCAGGCTCAGAGAGACTAAGCAACTTGCCCAAGGTCACATAGGGAAGTCAGAGACAGAGCAGGAAATAGAATTCAGATCTCCCATGTCTTAGGTTAGCACTTTAACCAATAGATCATCCTTCCTCTCTCAATTGAATGACAGCCCAAATTGTTATGGTGGGGTAGGGTCTGCTGTAGACTGAGTATATTAATCAAAAATGCTCCAGCCTTAGGCAGAAAGGGGGGGGGGATAGAAAGGGGCAAATTCACCGTGGCACAGGGACTGAGGGGAGATGACTTCCGCCTCTACTAATCAAGGACAGTTGGAGGCTGCTATGCAGCCTGCTATGCGCAGAGGCCGCAGTGCTCGGTGTGGAGTCGGACCGCTGCTCCGGTGACGGAGTGAGTGCCGACTCCATTAGGAGCTCTCTTAGACGGATATCGTGCTCCTTCTTCGTCCTAGGTTTAAAGGACTTGCAGCTACGGCACTTGTCACTTATGTGCCCTTCACTTAAGCACCTTAGGCAGCTGGTATGTGGATTGCTGATGCGCATAGGCCGTTTGCAGCGATCTCATGGTGTAAAGCCTGGGGACCAGGGCATGCCCCACCCAGGTCCCATCCGGGACTAACCAAGAGTTCGAGAACGACTACTAAGGGTAACTAATAAACTACTAACTATATACAACTATATTACAGGTTTTCAAAATTCACAAGAACAGAGAACAGAACAGCGCTAGCCGAAGCAGCAGACGTTCCAGCACCGTCACTGGCGGCAAGAAGGAACTGACGGTGGGGGAAGCCAGCGGCGCCCCTTATACCGCACCATGCAGGTGCCACTCCAGAGGGCACCAGAACCAGTTCCCTATGGATACTGCCGAGGGAAAAACTTCTGGCACCAGTTCATGTGGCGAGCACACGCACCCCTAATATGGAATGGACTTGAGCAAGCACTTGAAGAACAGTATTTTTGAGGGGGGCGATTGTTAGGGAGTAGGGGAGCCTCACCCATGCAGACCCTGGCTGACCCCTAGCCTCTTCCAATCAGTCAGGCATATCTGCCCCGTCCCATGTGTCCCTGCAGCCCCCTTCCGCCCATCCCCATGTGTCCCTGGCAAGGAGTCATCTCCCACACTCAGCAAGGCAGGATAAAGAGGTAGTGGATAAGATGACTGGGACAGAGAGGGTCCAGACAGATAAGGGAACCGCACTGAAGCAAAACAGGCTGTGGTAGGGACTCAGACCCTAGAGGAGAGGGTGCTTGGAGATCTGGGTGGCAGATAAAAAGAGCTACAGGGGAGACTGGTAGCTACCGAGCAGACTCTGCAGAGATCCAAGGAGGCCCTGCAAATAACAGAGAGGAACTCAGAGTTCCAAAAGGACTAGGCCCGGTCCTAAAGAAGAGAAGGAAAATGTGTGTTTCCTCTTGCGGGGAGTAGAGCAAGAGAGGGATAACCTGTGGGTGCAGCTCAGGCAGGTGCAGGGCAGGAGGCATCTCTACCCCTAAGGGTTGCAGGCTTGAGGGTGAGGGTGTGTGATGGGGCATCCGCCCCACACTGGCATGTAGGGGGTTAATAGGGAGGCTGAGTGGGAAGCAGCCAATAGGAGAGAGGCTGTGTGAGGCAGTCAATCTGGGCCCAACAGGCCCATATAAGAAGAGCCGCAGGTCAGAGCAGGGTTAGATACTGCCTGGAGCGTAAGGAGGGAGGACTGGTTCCTAGCAGGTGGACAGAAGCTACCACCATGGACCGAGCAGTTGCTGGCAGGGAACCGGGGAGTGAGACGGAGCTTGTGGCTGACTGCTAGGATTGACATACTGAGGCCCTGAGGTAAAGAAGGTGCTGGGGCTGTGGGGAAGTGGCCCAGGAAAATATACTGAGAAGTTGGAGGGGACACAACACATGGCTGCCATGTACAAGGTCGCTGGGTCGGGACCTGGAGTAGTGGGCAGTCCCGGTTCCCCAAGTGGCTGGACAGTTGTTCTAAACCCCACAAGGGGAGAGCACAGATGGTGACACAGCTGGAGGGCTGTGTCATGAAGAGGACACCCTGGAGTGACACAGGTCAGAGAGCAGACGTGACAGCAAGAGAAGAACCATTGGAAGAGGGTGTACCGACCTGCGGAGCTAATCCACAAGATGGCCAGCAGGGCGCACCGGCGTAGTGACTGAGCCCCGTCACACAGCCTATTGAACCAGAGGCTCTGGACTGCTTTGGGCAACAGTACCTGTGTACCAGCCAGTGCCTGTCACCTCTGATGCCACTGTGCATGCTCTAACCCATTTGTGGAGCTGTGGCCCTCCATATGCTAATGAGCAGCCTAAACTCCACCGTCACAAGCTTAACACTAAGGGCTCTCCGCTGTGCCTTAAACCCATGTTGAAGGTGATGTGGAGCCAGCCCAATTCAGGAAGGTAAAATTCCTCTCTGAGTCCCCCAGGCCACCCTCCGCTACAACTTTTCAGTTGCTCTTTGCTGCAGACCTGTCCTGCTGCCCCCTCTGGGATGTTTCTGCCAGGGCATTTGTATGGAGCTGTTCACGGGCTGCAGGCACTGCAGGAAGCAGGAACGTGCCCCGTCACTGCACAGAGGCAGTGTGTGTGTGCGCGCGCCTGTAATTCACCTCTGTGCAGGGGGCCCTGCACAAGGCCTAGGCAACTCTTAAGCATTATGGGCTCGTGTGCAGAGCTGACCAACCAGATAGGGGTGAGTTTGTCAGTGGTTCAATAGGCTGGAAACCCAAAGGAACACAGGACTTGCTTTAGAAACAAAGGCGCTTTCCTCTCGGCTGAAAAGGCATGTGGGGAATAAGGATCATGAAGAGACTGGAGGAAATTACATTACATTTAAAATTAATAGAATTTTAAAATAAATAAATAAATGATAAATTCATTAGTCAGCTTGGAAAATCGTAACCCTGGTTTTAAGTGCTAGAGGCTTTTGTGCTGGCCTTTTCTGCGGGGGTGAGCATCAGGGCACAATCTAGCCCTCAGGTAGTGAGGGAAGCCTACAGCACCAGTTACAGAAGCCTCAGTCACGACTCACTAGGCTAGAGCTGGTCCATGTCCACGGTTGGGAATCACCGTGTTCAGTAACATTACATCACAGCCAGGATTCCCAGGAAAGGGTGTCATAACTTTCACAATGACTAAAGGCAGGCTTTCAAGCATTATGAACTCTAATACTCCGTGGGGATGAGCTGGGCTCTGGATTTCAGGCAATCTTTAATGTGCACACAGAGCAGACAGGACCTCAGTTTCGAAGGTGTAATTTGTAAGATACCCCCCCACGCTCAGGTGCCTGCATTCAGTTTATCTACCACCTTGCAGAGGGCAAAGAGCTGAGTAAACCTTGCTTCAAGAGAATCTAGGTGCCCAATTTGTTGTTGCACTATAGATGTGCTGCTACAAAGAGGCCGCAGGACAGACATGAAGTGCCCTCCTCTGGGAATACCCCCAGCGCAGGGACCCTGTATGCCAGGTGCATAGTCAGCTTTGCCAGATCTTTGTTGCCTCCACAGCAAGCGGGAATACCCCAGGGCAAGCATGGGCTGGAGGTGGGAAGGTTGGATGGAGGGCAAGAGGAGGCATGTCAGGGGCAGACCTGCACTCTGGCAATATGACACCCCTGCCTATGCCACTGAAGCAGGGGCATAAATTAGGGCAGCCCCTGAATAGAGGATGCATAATTTGCCTCCCATCTGTCTGTACTTTGACACTAGCATCAGTACAGGGATGGAGCAGAATGTTAAAGATCCTCACGCTCTCCCTTTCTCGGGAGAACAGTATGTAGGATTCTCTCTTTGGTCAAAACTAATCTAATCATAAACGCACTTCTCTGTCTAGAAATATCACCTTCTAGCTGTCTTCCTATGCAAATCCCTTCTAGGCAGAGACATGGTTAAAGAACCAGAAAAAGCAATCAAAAGAGCCTAGTTTGAGAGGAGACTGGGGGGAAATAGAGAGAAACCGATTGATAAAACTGTCCATTCTCCTACAAGCTGGGGTTCTAGGAACACTGCCAAGCTCCACTGTTTGCATTATTTTCAAATTTCTTGGTAAGTAAGCTTATTATTTCCATGATGCTGTTCTGCAAATGCCTGTAACAGCAGATGTGTTCAAACTGTAAAACCCATGTGACCTGGCATGAGAAGGAGTTGCAGTAGGTAGAGCCGTTCTGTGACTCGTCTGTGTTTGTGGAGTGCTCTGAGCACACAGTGAAATTCAGCCCGTGCAGTAACCATGCACTGCCCATTAGTCACAGCAGACTTGTAGGATTCCCATCTAGCCTATAGTAAACCAGGAGACTCTGTTTTTAAATTGCTTTGTTACAAGAAAGTCCCAGATCATGTCAACACATTACAATGACTGCATTGGGCCAAATTCTGCTCTTCTTCACACAGGTATAAATCAGGAGTAACTCTAAGCTTAAATGGAGTTACTCCGGATTCACAGCAGTAAAAAATGAGATTTTTGCGCATAGTGAACATTCACTTAAGAGTTAACTCATGTGATATAAATGAGGTGAGTATAAAGGAGCCCCATAATGTTCTAACACACCTACAAAGGGGTTAGATACATTTCCCTAGGGAAATCGCACCCTTGTTATTCTGATTTACCTCATAATGCAGCTTGCAGTATTTCCCTGTAAAACTGCCTTAACTTCACACAGTTCATAGAGAAGATGAAAAGTCCAATTCTTGTACTTTAATAAGTGCACTCATCAGAAGTGTATTATTTGATCACACAATACACCTGCCTAAACAGCATCATCATCAAAAAAGTAGAAAATTACACAGCCACGCTAACCTCACTGCCCACACCAGTGATCAGAATAATGGAGGTATTAACACTAATTTACTGTGCTTTGTGCATGCTTTTAAAAAGCACATTCAGCCTGATACATTAAGCAGAACCCTTCAGCAGTATATTGTCCCAGAGTGAACTTAACGATGGTATACACTGCATTACAATGCTTACACATGCACACCACATGCATGTTAACTGTTGTTACCTCCTGGGCAGTCAGAAGGTATATGACAGAAAGGGCACTAGATCACAGTCTATCAGCATTTCCATATTTGTAAACTCTATTTTCAAGAATTTCATTCCCTATCTCCAACATAAAAATATACTGGGGCCTTGGCACCCTGAGGTGTGTGACTGGAGTCCCCTGAATCACAATGACTTCTTCTTAGATTTCCCAGGCAGTGCATGTTTTCATGTCAACTGCACCATCAGTGGAGAAGGGAAGGGTGCTCTCCCTCTGTTCCCAGCTGCCTGAGAACTAACAGAACATTAACAATAGAGGCCTGATTGATCTTGCTAAGCAGGTAGGGCCTTGGCCTACATACATAGGTGTATACAGTCCCAAATCTCTTCAGTGCTATGGGACAGCTCCTGTTGCCACTGGAGTTAATGGGTGCTTTGCACTTGACTGCTAAGGCAGTAAGATTAGATCCTTCTTTTGCTGGACTCCACCCTCCTGTTCAATGTAAGAATACATTCTCTACCTGCGCGTGGAGGAAATAAAGGGATCTGATGAATCACCATTCATCAAGGAAACTGAACAAGGGAAAGTGCACTCCACACTTTTGCTACATAAAGTGTGCAGTAATTATGTGGAAGTAGCCCAAAGGTATTATTTTGAAATCAAACAACTCAGAGTAAATGAGACACCCTGTAAGAACACACTGCAAGAGGGTGTGAATCCATTTAGCGCTGTTCAGTAAGAACATTGGATTTCTAATACGGTAGCTTACCAGAGTTCCTATGAGTAACAATCCTAGCGAAACTAAAGACAGCAGGAAATATAACATCGCAATGCTTCCAACTCTGGTCAGGTCCTGTGAAACAACAGAAATGACAACAACTCACACAGCGATTAAGGGATAGGACATAAGGGAACATGTGAGAAACTACCTATTGTTCCTGGTATTCATTTCACAAGGGTTTTTTTATACTGCCATGTTTCTTTAGCATAAACTCTATGATCCAGAAATGTTATGTAAAGTGCTATGTCTATTTACAGCACCATGAGCGAAATCCATGCCTATGCATGATGTGCTATCTGCAGGTCTTAAGTTGGCAGTAAGTAGTGCATAGGCCTCGCGCTGGCCCTCAGCACAGGGGTGACTTTCACTCAATATGATAGTCAATAATAGGAACAAAATCCCAAACTCCCACTAACTTCTACAGGAGTTCTGCTTGAGTAAGGCCTGCAGGATTTGGCCCAGTATGGAAGTGCAAAAAGATCAAAGGTGAAATCCTGGCCCCGCTGAAGCAAGTGGCAGAACTCCCACTGACTTCAATAAAGCCAGGCTTTTAAAATTGGCTCATTAAGTACAGCTAAAGAGATCCATGTTGAAGAGTCACTTTCCTGAACGTTAGCAGATTGTTTCCGCTTAACCATTTTAAAGCTTTCTTTTGCAAGGGAATGGTGCTATAATAAATAATAACCAATGATATGCATGAACATCTGTGCAAATGCAGACTGGTAGTATTTTTTTAAACTATTTATTTAGGAAGTTTCAATAGGTTTACAAATTCTTGCCATGTAAATACCAGAAACAAAACAACCATTGCAATAGTTAGCTTTTGTTTAGAGACATTATATGGGAATATAGTCATCAGATCTTTCTATTTAACAGGATGTTACCATATTACAGAGTAAGCATCATTACACTACCTATGTCATTTCCAGTGATTTTATTAAATTGAGTGAAATCTCTATATACACATATTTAACAGACGAGGTATGTCTGCCAAATGTTTATATTCAAAAATTGGAAAGGTGTGCTGGGCTTTTTTGCAGGTGAATGTACTTTCAGACTTGTCTTATTTTGCTGCATTCTGAGAATCACACTCCTCCATACTGAACCTGCTTTATGTTTTCTTTTACTTAAAGTCATCTAAGTCAGGACATTTCTGGGCTGAACAATTGATTTGTGATTGACAAATTACACTGCAAATAACATGCAGATAATTTAATGCCTCCTGCTGCAGGAGGAGTTTTGATTATGCACAATGAATCCAACTGAGAAAAAAGTCATATAAAAAGCACTTGTCTATAATAAACGAAAGGACAGGTAATATCCAAGTTCACAAACACTGTTCAGGGAACACTGAAAGCAGTCTCCACTGTACTTTAAGCACCAGACATAAGCAGTCAGATCTCCTATATGCATTGCACAGCTACTACTGGTAAAGTTATGCACCACGACTCCAAACACTCACATGGTAAATATTTTTGCCTGATTTTCAAAGGGGCTGATCATTGTAGCCACACAGGGAGGGGACTATACGGCAATTGGCTGTGTGATTGTAGCACAAGTTGACATGCCTGTGCTAGCTTTGGTATAGCTAGCATGGCTAAATATAGCAGCGAAGATGCATTGGCATGGACTGCAGCGTGGGCTGTACAAGCACGCTAGGGACCCTGGGAACATACTCATTGTTAGCCTGTGCTTTAGCTATGCTAGCTAATGTTAGTGCAGGTATACCAGCCCATGCTGCAATCACGTCTCTGACTGCAGTGTAGACACACCCTAAAGCTCTGTCTACATTAGAGACATTTGCACCAATGTAATTATACCGGTAACTCACCAGATTAAGTCACAGTAGTGTAAACCCCGCATTAGAGTGGTGTCACACATTAGGAGTTTGCACTGGGGAAGTTTCATAGATATAGTTTTGCCAATGCAAATGTTTCTAATGTAGACGCAGCCTAAAACTCTTTTAAAAAAAGAAAAATCAGGAGAATTATTTTTATTTATCATGAGGCTAATGATTTAAAACACATTTCAAATGAAATTACATAGGTTACACTCATCTTCTCCAGTGTGGACACATGGGCGTAACCGAGGCCAGAATCTGGCCCACTACGTTTCTCAATGAGGGCTGGAATTGAGCTGGTAAACTGTTCTGGTGAGTCTTGTGAGCCTCCATCAGCTTCTGCAGAATCTAAGATATTTTATTTGCCTTCATAAATTGAGTTCTAGCCCTTCTCTTATGGTGAAGTAAACCTTATGGGCTTGATTTTCCACTGCTTTGCTCCTTGTGTAATCTTTTACTCCTCTGTGAAGCAGGCGCAAAGGTCTACATTTGATTTAATAGCAGGGCCAAAAAGATTTGGCCTTGGATTTTTAAAGACTAATTTAATATACATTTATTTTGGGGGGGGGGGGTTCTTCTCCATTCCAGAGCAGATACACAGTACAGCAATCACCATGTTTTAATACAATACATCTCTTTTATACATTTAATCCAAGAAGATACCAAAATTATTACCCAAGGCTATTGACCTTAGCCCTGCACTTAAATAGAGAGAAACAAGCAAACTTACCTCTCCTGGATCTGAGATGAACTGTTCAAATGGTGTTAGCAAGTAGGACAGCAGGTCAAAGGCATTCTGAGCTGTTGGGATTGTCCCAAAACCGCTGTACCATAACATTATGCAGAAAAGCTGTGCAATCAGATAATACATAATAAGCATTCCTCATTAGACAAACATTCATTTTCATTTCAAGACTGCATAATTAACTAATTTAGTTCTCATTGATTTTATGTTGATCATCATTTTCACTTTAAGAAGTCAGGTATTTTCTATGCTGCAGCTTAACTAGAATAAAAAGACAGAGAGCCTGATGCAAATCGGTGTAGCTCCTTTGAGCTCAACAGAGAGACGCTGATTTACACCAACAAAACTCTGGCTAAGAGAATTTATAAAGAGAGATAGCATTTTATTCTTGAATTCTTAATGGAAGGCTATTAGAATACATAAAATGCACAGCATACTACAACACAACTCTTATAAATGTATAAAGCTATAGCTATATCAAGACAGATATACATATAGATACATACACATGTATGTTAATATGCAAAAAAATTCATTTCAAGCAGTTAGGATTGCTACTCACAACATGGCTGGCACCAACCCCCAAAAACAAGAAAATGAAGAGTTAAGCCACCTACATGTACATACCCTCTACTCCTCCACCCCGAGGCACAAACCTTATCATTACCATATCATATACCATGCACCACAATCTTAATTCTACCCCATCCACTCCCTTCTGTATGCACACTTAACCAGATTATCCTTTCCCAACATTATGGATGTTTGGTATAGCAGTTGGTTGTGTTGGGAGAAGGCAGTCCGGCAAAGGGGTGTTTGCAGAAGGGTGGTTAAAGGGGGCGATAGAAGGCTGGTATATGCAAAGGGGCAGAGTTAAGGTTGCGATGGGTGGCCTGTGATGCATAGCAGTTGTAGTAATGATGAGTGTAGCACTGACTTCACTGCAGCTATGCCAATCGGCACCAGCTGGGAATTACACAACAATACACGACTGAAATCTCTAACAACAAGAACAGTTTTAAAAATTAGGGTTTCATTTTGAGCTAGTTATAAAGTATGCTAGTGCCTTACCAATATCTGCAAGATGGCGAACAAACATACACCGCCTCCTGTCGTTAATCCATTCCACCAAGCAGCCCAGCCATGCTGCAGAGTTCTCGGTGAGGCTTTCTGGGATTGTTCCTTCCCACATTGCTGTCCTTGCTGTCCATCAGCTGCATCAATTGACTCCATCACTGTAGGCTTGGAGAGACCTTCAAATGCAAATTACATGTGCAGGGAATGAAAAGCAGTGTAACTCTGCAGCCGTCACGGAGGCTGTGAGGAATATTATTTTTGTAAAGATGTTGGTTACCTCTCAGTTCTGCATCAGTAAGTGCAGCTCGAGATTCAAGCGTCACACTCTATTAGTACAGCAGTATTCACTTACCTTCGTCAGAAAAAGTAAGCGTGGGTGGATAAATTATTTTTCTTTTATTTCTGTAGTAACAGAACCTGGGGCTTTGTTGTTAATAAATTCTCATTTACATTGCTGCATCTTTCTTTTCTTCTTCTTTTTTTTCCTAAGGAGCCCTGGGTTTGGTTCCCAGCTCTGGCCACTCACCTGCTGTATGATGCTGGGCAAATCATTTAATCTCTCTCTGCCTGTTTCCCCTCTTACCCATTGCCAGTCTGGTCTATTTAGACTGCAAGATGTCAAGACAGAGACAGTCTCTTACTATATGTTTGTACAGTTCCTAGCACAACGCAGACCTTGATCTTGGTAGCAACCTCTAGGTGTAGTAAAAGTAATAAATAGACTGGTCTGATTTTGCTCTGACGGCTGATTACTATTGGTGCAGTGCCATTGGCGTCAATGGAGCTACGCCAATTTACACGAGCTGACTGTCTAACCACAGAATAGTAGCATTTTATCCCCACTTTGTATAGGTGTAACTGAATTCACAGGCTGCGAGGCAGCAAGAAATCAGGCCCATTAACGTCAATGAAATTACTCCTAATTTATACTGGTGTACATTAGAAGAGAATCAAGCCCAGAGATTGCCCTGTGACCAAGATCATAGCCATGGCAACAAATCCTAAACCAAGCACACCAGCATAGGATAATGGCCACAGAAGGGCTATCATTGTGGTTTGCTGAGGTAAGATTTCTTCAGGATGCATCATCATTCGTCATTTATTTTTCTAAAGATCCAAAAACTGTAAACTTTGGGACAGATCCTCAACTGGTGTCCATTGGCCACAGCTCCACTAAAGTAAATAGAACAGTGGATTTACATCAGCTAAGGATCTGACCTTAAACACAGAAGATAAGACTTTATAGACGCATGTTATCTCCCTTCTTAAACAGAATACTGTGTGGATGGACAGAGCCATAAGCTTCTTATTCTCCCTTATCTGGCTGTTCTTCTTCTATTCAACTGAAGGTCAGTAGGGAACTTATGGTGCCCCTGTTTGAGAGAACAAGAGATGAGCCCAGATCAAAGGTACCCACAGTACAACACACTTCTGCAGATGCAGTGCTGTGGACACAAGGTTTCAAAGGGGAAGCAGCATAGAGCACAGTATGCACAGCAACGTGGGCACACACAACTGACATTGGTTTACTTACATCACAATGAATTCTACCAGTATAACTTCTGCATACAGCTAGGCCTAAGAAAAGTTTCCTTGACTAAAGAGGAGTGCAGAGTCTGGTCCTATTATATGCAGAGCTAATAGTAGCACTATAGTTAAGGTTATCTAAAATGCCTTCAATATAAGCCCAGTTGCTTATAACTATGCCAAACTTTAGCAGTTTCGGTTGAAATTCTCCATGCTTGCTCTCAGCTTCAGGTTGATTTTTTAATTTTATTTCAGCAAAAAACAGCACAGTCATTTCCCAGGACATGACTAGGGAAAAAGAAATAGCTTTGCCAATAGTAAACAATTTTCTCTACTATTTGTTGAAGAGTTCTAGTTTCTCTCTGTTTTGGAGCAGGAACTTGAAATTTGGTAGGAGTAATCCTGAGACGCGAGATGTGACGTTTGCTTTCCCAGTGAAAGTATACTCAGATCTAGCTGAGTTATAAGCCTCTGAAAGTTTCCATTTGCACATGGTCAGTACATCTTATTACAGTTTGTACCTAAAATCTCTAAATATTCCATTTGCTCTGAGCATGCCCCCAGCCTCACTGACCCTTCATATGCATTGAGCAATTCTCCTAGACCCCACACTCCTTCCTGCATGCCAACTGCACTAAGTATGCTCCCAGACCATAATGAGCCTCCTACATGGAAGTTATTTGGCTAGAGCTCCAGACAGGACACAGGCAAAGCAGCAGCAAAACACCTTTTCCCCTTTTACAGAAGGAATAGCTGAGGAGTTGCACAAGGTCACTTCTGGCAAAGTTGGAAATAGAATCCAGCCTCTAACATGGCAGACACGACTTTCATTCACTTAGCTAATCTGCCTATCAGAATGAATGGCTCAAAGCTATGTGCTTGGCTGTGGTGTCCATGACCATGAGAACACAATCAGAGACAAGAAAAGAACACAGGAATCCGGACTCCTAACATTCCATTGCTGTCTAGCAATAGTTGTGCAAGCAACTGGTAGTGTGTTACTTCCCCCTCTAGAAGCTAGACATATGAAAGATAATAGTGTACTACTGCTATTAGCTTCTCCCCCACCCCCCTCCACACCTCAAGTGGTAGAGGTCTGTGCTATGCATTTAAAACTCATAGGTTCAAACCCTCCTGATGACTTATGTAGGGAGTCAATATGGTACCAGAGAATGGATATTTTTATTTTCCAGTTTTCTATATAAAAACCTAGGAAATTACATACAAAATGTATGTTAAAATAATATTATGACTTCAAAGTCAAAAAGTCAGATGTTAGAAAATTCCAGAATTAAGGTCAGCTTTATCTATGCAAAGAAATTACACCACTCTAATTAAAATCAGTTTTGAAAAAGTGTACCAAATGCAAATAAACCTATATAAGCCAATGTAAGCGTCCATGCAAACTTCTGTGCTGATTTAACTATATCCATTTTAAAACACACCTTAAATTAACCCAGTGCAAATCTGTGTGTTGACCAGGTGATGACAGTCTTTAATTACATGGTCTCATTCCATTTGTTCTAGAGCAGTGGTTCTCAACTAGGGGTCCGGGGCCCCCTGGGGGGCCACAAGCAGTTTTCAGGGGGGCCACCAAGCAGGGCTAGATTAGACTCACTGGAGTCCAGGCCAGAAAGCCAAAGCCCTACCACATGGGTCTGAAGCCCAGGGCCCTGAACCCCATCACTCAGTGTTGAAGCTGAAGCCTGGGCAATGTAGCTTCGTGGGGGCCCCCTGTGGTGTGGGGCCCAGGCAACTGCCCTGTTTGCTACCCGTAACTCTGCCCCTGGCTTTTATATGCAGAAAACCAGTTGTTATGGCACAGGTGGGCCATGGAGTTTTTTAGCATGTTGAGTGGGCCTCAGAAAGAAAAAGGTTGAGAACCCCTGTTTTAGAGGACCCCTGCCTCATTCAGTGAACAGAAAGAGCAGTGAATGAGGCAGAGAGCTGCAAAAAGAGAAAGGATGTCGGGGTTAAGGAACTGGACTGGGACTTGGGAATGCTGGGTTTTATTCCTGGCTCTGCCACAGACTACCTATGTGATTTTCGACAAGACTATTATAATGCATGCATACAAAAGAGATGATTAAGGGTGCACAGTCAATCTAACTGTGGCATTCCCTAACTACTTTGCTGGACTTTGAAACCTGATTGTTCTTTTGACATAGTTTTTTGTGTGCAATGTTAATAAAACATATTCCACCAAAACCTATTATTTTCATTTGGCTGTTTTTGGCAGCAGTCCATAACCATCCTGGATTCCTGGTTCACACAGATTGTGGTTCAGACACCATAAGACTTGGCTCGCTGCCAAAGTCCTCTGGCAAAAAGATCATTTTTGAGTCACAGTCCAATGCCATTACAAGCAGTCCTGTGCTTGTAAGGCAACTTGAAATATCAAAATAGACAAAGCATCATCTAGTGCCATAATCTAACCTACTATCCCTGCAGTTTACAAATAAAGGATTGCCAGTCTGGATCAGACCACTGGTTCACCTGGTCCATTATCCTGCTTCTAAAAGTGGCTTCCAGCATGAGATGTTTTTAGAGGAAGTAGCAAGAAACTCCATAACAGATCCTCTCCCAATAGGAGACGTTTCTTCTTCACCTCACCAATCAGTGGTCAGTTTATGCCCTAAAGCATATACCCAGAGGATTTCATTATTGCTCCCCCTATATTTGTAGCACTCTCTCCAAGCATATACGTAGATAGATAGATAGACAAATAAGATGATAGTTAGGAAAAAGAGAAATATATATAGTATTCGGAATCTTTAGAGTACTAGAATCCTGACTGCATGCTAAAGGGCAGCTATAGTAATGATGAGTGAGATAATGATGCCTCGGAGCAACAAACATATGTGCCATGATTCAGAGGATAAGTGTTTCAGATGTACAGTGTTGGGCTTATATTAGTGTGTACAAATCAGCACGGCACTCCCAGGGTCTGACATTCATCTTTTACATTGGTGGTTTCTGTGGAAGAAATACAAACCCTTCAGAGACACACATGCTGTAGTTTCCATTTCACCAGGAACCTTGTGCCCTCTCCAGTGGATGGATGCTAATGCTCAAGAGATTGCTACAGCCCCATTTATAGTCAGTTTTTACCATTTATTTTGGGAATAAAGACCCCTTCCCCTGCAAACTACAACAACAACGTTTCTAATGGTGGAAAAAATGTACTATACCAATAAAAACGTGAACACTTACACAATCATTACACATTTACTCATATCCAATATATTGTACATATGGGAATCTTATATCTGGGAAATCCTACAAAGGGATTTTTAATTAGTAAAATCCAAAAACCTAAAACAGTTTCTGTGACTGTGATACTTCTCAGATCAATGGTGTATTGTATTTATGCAACATATAGACCCCTAATAAAAACAGCATTTAGAAAGCAACATAAAGACAGTGTGTATATCAGGGCTGGAGCCTTGGGAGGGAGTGGAAGACTAGGTTTAAATTCCCCTTAAGACCTAAGCACATAGAAGAAAACCTTGCTTCCCATTCCGTGAGCTGGAAAGCCTGAAAAGCAGCCAAAGACGAAGCGGGGGGACCAAGACCAAGAAGACCAAATTGATCAAACAAGGGGAACTCCAATTCATTCTTCATACCATGGAGGCTCACTCTATGACAG